TTCAAATTGACACTAAATCAAATTGGCTAGATGATCACTTTCACACCGTCATTGCATAGATATATTTGTTGCAAAAGGATTTCATATAACTGATTTTGCTCACATTTGCATGGTTGTTTTCCTTGGTGAAAAAGTTCACACATATCAATTTGGACTCATGTAAGCTTGGGGTCCAAGCTTCACGTAACGGAGGGAAGTTGTCATAGCGACTGATTTACGACATCCATTGTCTGAAGAACATTTGATTGCAAAGGCTCATTACCCTGGAGCCATGACATCTATATGCCTTGAAACACTTAATTGCTGTTATTTATAAGATGCTAATCCTATTTGTTAATCCCCATTTTTGTGTACATCGACCGTCTGCCATCCTGAACAGGATGTGCAAGTATGTCACTGATGATTTACTGTTTACATTTATACTTATTACTTACTAAATGTCAGGTGACCTTGGCTATATAAGCCTTGGTCCAGAGAGATTGAGAGAAGGAGAAAAAAAGGTCTTACCCTTAGCCTAGCTAGGGTTAGGCTGGGTGCTCCGGGGCACCAAGACAACACGCACTACCACTATGTGCTGACTTGGCACATAGTGTCATTTGTATGTATATATCTACATGTATAAAGTAAAACTGTATATACTGCAAGCCATCGTCTCCAAGTTGTCACTTCCTACAGGAACCATACGTTGGCCCCTTGCATATACGAGTATGCAAATTATTCATTAATCAACGTCAGACCACACGCGTTGTTACAGGTATGCCATCCATTGAATTCTTGCCAATGATAGACATGAATGCCAGTGATATGAGTTGTGTCTACTCCACTCTGCGATTTGTATCATCAGAGGCAAAATGGCAAAATGTCAAGCCTATTATCATCTTTGATCAAACTCTATGGTGGAAGGCCCAAATGGTAGTAGCAAGTGATTCAGGCAGCAGTGATCTAAGTTCTGCCTTAAGACTTGGTGCATTTCGCACTCAAATGAGCTTTCTCAGTTGCATCGGCAACGTAATGTCAGGATCAGGTGTGCAAGATGTGCTTCAGACTGTATACGCCACAAACAATGTACTACATATGCTAAGTGGAAAGGCAGTGTCTAGGGCAGTGAGAGGACATTTTCTTGTAGATACAGTCCTGAATGGCATGCTGACGTCAACTACCTTCAGCGTCCCTAAAGTGCAGTTTGAAAACTCCCAACCCATGGATCCTGATGTTTTCCAAGAAGAGAATATTGTTATTCCAGATCCAGCCTAGGACACAGACATGCTTGAAGAGGATTTGTCGTCTGTACTTCAACTTTATGACAAGGTTATAACTGGTGATATTTCAGTGGAAGATGTTTGCTCAGAGGAGTGTATTGAGAAAGGGCATGAGACTGAATAGTTCAAAGAAAGAACTGTTGCAGAACAGCTCGTCTCTGGATGCAGTGCATGGACAAGGTGGATGTTCTTCGGCAATTTATTAAGGCAGAGAGAACAGGAAACTAGCATCTCCACATTCACACTCTCAAATCTGTGCTTCCCTATTTCGCAGCTGCTGGACATAACCTATACACCAAATCTGTACCTATATACCTACAACAGGTGATTGGAGATACAACATCCAGATTTATATGCCCTGTTCACAGATGGATACCATGTTATTCGCAGTGATCGCTTTTGGGCTGGTTTATCATCTGACTTGTTGATAGAACAGGTATTGATGAAAAGCATGAAGACAACTGGTGGATTGACATGGGGTCGTGGATTGACAGATTCACAGCGTACACAGTGGCTACTGACCCTGCCATCTTGTGCAGATGTAAATGAAGCTATTCAGAAAATTACAGGCACTGACTACGCCAGTGATCAACACAAAGACATCCCATTTAGGGTCATATTAGAATGACCTTTAATCCAACCAAACAGAGTCGCTTACAGTCGGAATGTGTTTTCTAATCATGCAACGTCAAAATATTTAACAGAGGGTATTCCAAACGACAGTTACGGGTTTTATGATTATATCCATACAATCTAGGCCATCTTTGAGCTATTCCAAAATGTTCTTTTTATCAGTTTTAAAATTTTTAATCAAGAATACGTCAAAATATGTTTCGAAGCGTAGTCGCCAGTTTGTAAACTAGTGTTGTAAAGGTAGAGAAAGCTGCCTTATGATTAGCTAATGCCGATTTCTTGTCAGTCATTTCATTGGTCGGTCAAAGTTCGCGAAAAGTCATTCTGACGTGACTGGTAATGAGATGTCCTCAGACCTTTGTTTGGCGGTAGCAAAAACTAAGATCTGATTTTAATGATATTGTCTCCTACCGCACTTGCCATGGCCCAGGGGTGCAACATTTAATTCCATATGCACCATACATACTGAATATGTCCAGAAGAAATATGCCACTCACATGATTGTCTTTGATGGATATCAATCAGGCCCATCGATAAAGGATTCAACATGAGTGAGCGATTCTATTTGTCATCAAACATTCTTCAATTTGTTTCTGTTTGTAAACAGTAGTGCTGGACACATGGTAACCTGGATATCCCTTCATCCCATCAACTTACCTCACACAGACAAAACTCCCATATCCCATTAAGCAGTTGGTGACCTGTGAAGATCCGGTTAGAATTGGTCTTCAGCAATACGTACATGTCATAAGAGGTGACTAATGTGAAAATTTTGTAGATACATGCTCATGTCAATCACTCGATTGATGTCTAGACTCGATTATTTACAGACTACCGTCATATAGCTGGAATACTGCTGAGTGCGATGTTAAACAACAAACAAAAAACAGTTGGTGGCTTCATTCAATATCCCTGATCACCTTCCAGCGATGCACATATTGCCATCAACAGTTTGAAGCCATGTGCATGTACTGAATAATCCCGATGCATCAAATGAAATGTGATGCAGACAATACAGAGTGAGTGAGTTGGATTCAACACCGCTTTAATAGTATTCCAGTTAGATCACCGCATGTCAGCTTAAAGTGGGAGGAAAGCCCGAAGTGATGCAGGTCTCAGGCGTTAACCACTTTGGTGAAACCCACGAGCACGGGTAAGGTGCTGACAAACCTAGAAACATAATGGGGGAGAACCGGGATTTGAACCCACAATCATAGGTTTCTGGCGTGCCCAAGGGACGCAACTCTCCACAGCGAATCGTGGCACCTTAGACAACTGGGCCACCCGTGCCCCCAATACAGAATGAGAAATAGTCTGGTTTGGTGGAGAAACAAATGTAACTAATGGACAGAACATATGCTCCAAGTTATGATATAAAGACTGATGAAAAAAATATGAATGCTTTTTACTCTGTATACAGATTAGCTTATATGATAAACACGGATGATAAATATATGAAGGCTCGTTATAATGTAAACAGAGGCTTTTTAACATTTTTTTAAATATGCAATGTTGTCTTCACATACACAATAGTGAAAGAAAACTTGGTATGAGACTTTGTATTCAGAGCTACATGGGACAATGTAAAACAATCTGAAGAACATACATCCTTAAAATACCAATTAATGAGTTTACATCTCGAGGTTCACAGGTTTCAGAAAGACCTGATCTCAGGCTGCTGCTGGGTTGAAGCCCACATACACTTCATTTATGCTCTCTTGTTTGTCTGCACCTCGGATCTACTAATCTACCACCGTATTCTACATAATAAGCGCCCAAGGCGCTCTCAAAATTAGAAATAGGAGGCTCTTATTTTAATATTATTTTGGTGAAACAAAAACAGGTGTGAAAGATCGTTAATTTCGTGGTTTATGCTGACAGCCTGAAATGTTTATATACGACAGATATATTTTTCCAGAATTTAATTGCCCATAATTAAGGGTGCATTTAACACACGAGTGCGTATTATACAGGAATAAATTTAAGTCTTGTTTACATTGATTATTCGGAAGGGGTGCAAATTGGGACTGTTCACTTGCCAATATATAAGCAAATATCGCCTTGGCGCTTATTAGAGCGGGGCATCAAATACGGTAAGTGTTAAATGGCCACAATCTACATCCCATAAATAGGGGAGCAGCCATAACTAAAATACTGTACAAAGCAGCACACAAAATCAAATTCAGCTCTACATATTTCACGAAAACTGTCTAACATAAATTGAACGTTTTAAACAATTCATTGTTTCCATTGTATTATTATTTAGTGTACAAACCATTCATTTTTAAACCAAGCAAAAAAGATTAATACTATTCTTCATCGATGATAAGCAATTTCTAAAAATTACAGAATACATTTATTCCAGGTTGTTCAAATGGAAAAAAACCTGGAATTAACCTGTACCAAGTCTAGATCTATCTTCAACATTATATATGGTTAACATGCAAGAAGCATTTTTATAAGATCTTACAAATGTGTCCCATTCAACAGCATACAACCAGACAATAATGATAAATTGATTGATACAATATTGATTTCAGTTTCATGTGTTACAATTAGGGATGGGACGAGTCCACATTTACTACTGGTGTACCCACTAGGGCTGGGACGAGTCCACATTTACTACCCGGGTACCCACTAGGGCTGGGACGAGTCCACATTTACTACCCATGTACCCACTCATTAAACAATATATCAAGTGACTAACCACGGGTCTGGGTAGTACAGTCCTACTCAGGACCCGACCGTCCCGAGTACCAGAGTTACCTGTCCCATCCCTAGTTACAATCAGTATTTGTGCCCCAGCTGTTGGGGCCACAATATCACTATGACTATTGTAAGCTTAAATGTGAACATTATTAAGGGACTGGTAATTGTCATGAAAATTTTTTACATGTATGGCTAATGATGTTGCTGTTATCCTGTCAACAACATGCAACAATGTGTACAGATTCTTGGTCCACATCTGTGTATATTCCATGTGATTTCTGACATGGACAATGGCCTCCCTGACTATCCAGTGTATCATATCACTATTTTATTATGATATATACCCTGGGCCCATCCACCACCTTAGCCAGAATCTTCTCCAGATAAAAAAAATCAAAACAGTCTTGTTATTTTATTTTCAATACATCGAGGGCTCACACAGATGAGGCCATGATTTTAAACGTACATCTATGCCCAACACATGTTTGGAAGAGACATTTTGATTGGTTCACTGAAGTAGTAAACGTCTGAGACCTTCATCACTCTCCTGCCATATTAAGCTGTCATGCTGTGATATAACTGGAATGCTTTTAAAATTGGTGTTAAACCCAACTCACTCACTATAACACACTCGACGATGAGGGAGACCATCTTGTATCAAAATTGACGATAAATAGTCACTGATTTCATAATCTTTTCTTTTATGTTTAAACGTGTTTTGTGAATCGTAGAAAAAAACAACATAAATGATCTTCGTCTTTATATTTAATTAAGATATCTTTATTTCTGAGACTAAAAAATGTTAGTATGTATTCGAGTACACCTCAGCAAAATTTGTACATGTACAAATGAAATAAAAACTACAAACAATACGAATGGACTCATTAAATAAAAAATATGATCTCCTATCTATCTGTACGAGTGAATGAGTGAGCGACTCAGGTTTAACTCTGCACAGCTAAGTAGTGTCTTGAGACAACTGGGCCACCCAAATCAAAACATGGCAAATCTGAGGCTGTAGTGTTAAAACCATACAAACATTACAACAATGTTCATCAAGAGATTTTAACTATGATTGTGCACACATAAGTATAAAAATACAGATTATTCAGTGTATAAATAGAGAGTACTGACAACCATTAATTGTAAATTCCTTTGGACCATGTGTACATTAAGTATATTAAAAAAACACCAATAAACGCACACCTATTATTCGTAAGCAACAGCTAAAATACTACAGTGTCCCATGTGTGTCACAAAGAAACATCAAGTGCATCATCATACATCTCCGTTCTATTATGGTAAACACTGTGGACCCATTTCCTACCTTAATGTCATCCCAAGCTGCATCATACCAAGAGATGGTCCTTGTTGTTACCCTGCCTGGGGCCTGGCTTTAAGGGCAGTCCATGCTGTATTCAGCGGTCGTGGAATATTTTGCATAAATTACCACTCAGTGCAAAAATGTACTTTCCTTTCAGAAAATCATATTTTATGCAGAACTTGTGCAGAATTTTGCATTTATCTGTCACAGACTTTGTCAAAAACACTGCAGAATTTTAACATGAGTCGAAAGCTGGTCTTAAGCATGCATACAGATATTTAATTTGGTTTGTTTGAAGTGAAGTTGACTTTTTGTATTACTGTTTCCCGAAACTGCATGTCTGTTTGTCTTTGTGTTTATACTAGTGATCTCCATGGATACCAGGGTAAGTTTATCATAAAAATGCCTGTCACAAGACAAACAGGTGCTAGACTCCAAAATTCATGAAGACCAAGCTTACAAGTTCGCAGAATGGTGTGCAGAATTATCAAAATTTGGTTGCAGTTTTTACAAAGGTAGACTGCAGGAATTTGATGTTTTGGTTGCAGAATACAGCAGGGGCTGTAAGGGGATAAAACACGGCCCTAAAGCAGCTGTCAAATTAAATTATGCTCCTGTGTAAGAGAACCATGGGAAGACACTGATATGAACGACGGAGATGGTCACATCACTGCCTAATTGATCCTGACTTGTGAATGGGTCCAGGGTACTTATAACAGAATGGATATATACTAACCTGGATAAACGAGGATACAAATACAAGACAAAAATGGAAAACAAATATCTAAATTCTACTCCAACATACAACAGACAGTCTGTAAACTGTCTGTGTAACATACAGAAAAACACCTGACACTAATGTTGAGCTTTTTTTCAAAACAACGACAGTCAGCATTGGCTTTGATGAAAACAAAGTCTGGCTGTCTTTGTATCACATCTAACCCTTGCATGGTTCACATTGTCACATTATCTGCCTGTTCCAAATCACATTCCAGGTGTCAATAATAGCGCAACAGATGGCACAATGTTGGAATCAGAAGAAAACCTCAGGCAATCCTGAACACCTGAAACACAGTCAAGTTCATATTCTAATGAAACTTCACTTGCCACTATGGCCATCCGTTGTTCCTCTGCAGACCACAAGGATATGGTCTAGCTTCGTTGTAATCTCAGCAGGGTGGGGAAAAAAATGCTTTGCCGTATAGAAGTCACTGTCAGTTTTATCCATTCGTCAATCCATCAACTCCATCAATCAATAAGTTTAACAGGATAACGTATTCTTACAAAAAAATAAATGCTTTGAACATGTATAATATAAATCTTGTGCACATATTTCAATATTTTATCTGATACTAAACTACACCAAGGCACACAGAAATGATGGTATGTCACCAACTTTTTTGCTACCTCTGTTCATATGACAGGCCTTTTCCTGAATCAATAATAGATATTATATTTTTCCACCACTGCATACTGTAAACGTCTTCAGTTTCAACAAGTTTACTTTTATTCATGAAAAGTTCCAAACCCGAAAAGAGTTTGAAACAGAAGTCCTGTTATTGCTGTCATTGTTTCTTTCACTAGGCATGCCAACTTTAGTTATTCTCTAAGTCTTGTTTCAGATGCTGAAACAGCTCTTTCCCTGGGAAGCAGTACGTCAGAGTAGAGGTAATCCAGTCAGGAATATCACTGCGCTTCGTCTTCAGTTTTGCAAGGCACACTGGATAAAACCGTTTATTCTTGGAGAAGTTTTTCTCACAGTACTCTGTCAGCATGAGTGTGTAGATATGTCGTGTGGAAGACTGGTGTTCAGAAGGCCGTGCCTGGGCTTGGTCGTTGTCCTTGTCCACATACTCCTTGTACCCAGGGCTGACGATCATCAGCACACACGTAGCCTGAAACACAATGCATGGATCATAGGAAACAAGAACATTTTTTTGTTTCTAGGATATTTTGTGAAATATTTTGGTTGTGGTGGAAAAGGAAAAACAAGATCTCTCAGATAGGTTTTCTGCTATTTAAAACATTGCGTGTCGCCACATACTTCCATAATGTTTGTTGAGCAAATTATAACAACCTGAGTTGCAAATTGTAGAACAAGAGTAATCTCCCTTTTCTACAAGGATAAACAAGCTTCACAAAGACATGTTTAATGTAAATGTTTTGTTCAATCATTGACCATATTGCATTAGTAAAATCTAAAAAAATTGCAATTTAGGGGGTCAATATAATAAATACACTGCTTTGCATAATTCTTTTTTAATAATTTTAGGGTAAGCATTGTAAAATCACCTTTCCAAACAGTATCAATAATATACCAGTAGGTAGGAAATGATATGTTGTTATGAAAGCAACAATCTACTCAGAACATTACATGCTGTAGTACCCAAGTTAAGGGACTGTTCAAATTAGCTTCTGGTCACCAAGCAGTGTGTATGTGTACCAGGTACCCACCCCTCCCCCCCACCCGACCCCCACTGTTCTACAGAACAATATTTTTTTTCCCTATTTTTTTTTCACTTTGATGAACCTGACAAGAAGTCTGGGGTGGTATACAAGACAGGGAACTGAGGAAGCTATTGGAATAGAAACTGATCCATTTACCAGGGTAATAATGTCACATGTCTTGAGCTTGCCCTTTGTGGTGTGGAGTCTAATGCTTTATAAGTGGCCTTTTTTATACAATTAACACAGTGTATTAATACCAGGTAATGTTCAAAACAGTTGAACCCAAAAATATAACAATTTTAAAACCAACGAAATAAATACAGCATTCAAAAACGAGTTGGATCCCTGAAGTGAACTTTTCTTTTTTTTCTTTCTGCAAGAACATGAAGGCACAGTCACATGGAATAACACAATTCCTTTTGGTTTCTTTGCGGAATCCTTACACTACGCCTTGAACCGACGATCAGCCCCCCATTCTAAACACTTGCAAAGGTAAGTTTTGAAAGCCGATTCTGACACACTGCTGACATCAGGCATCAATAAATCGGATTGGGGTCAAGTGGCGGTGAGTGCAGTCTTTGCAGAGAGGGTGTGACGACTCCATATCGTATCGTAAGTTCGTAGTAATGGTAGACAGAAGTGATCTCCGTGTGAACCCAAAAACTTAAAAGTATTCCCTGTTATGTAAACGTCTGGTAAACACCAGGTGATAGAATTGAGAATGAGAATGACCCATGATCACAGTGGTGACTTAGTGATGTATGAGATGTGTTGGGGTGGGGTTTTTTTAAGGTGGAAACTGTTCGAGGATGTTTCCACACCAGGATCGAAGAATAAGAAGAAATGCATGTGAGATAGGATAAGTTTAAAAATTTCTAAATAGCGAAAGCCACCACTTCAGCCCATGGGTAATACATGTACCAAATTTGGATGTTCACAGTTTTCAAGTTCCGGAAACGACTCCTACCCCCACTTTTTGAGACTAAGTTCAAATCAATTTCATGGAAATCCAACCAAATAAAAAATAGCAAAAAAAACCTTAAATAGCAAAGGTACCACTTCAGGATCTGTTTGATATATCTGCCAATTTTTGTTGAAAAGTATTTTCGGATGGACAGACAGACAGACAGACAGACAGACAGACAGATGAGGCATGACGTTATATGCTGAAACTGAAAACTGAAAATAATAAGAGCCTCACCCTTTCAAAGTATGCCATTCTCGCTTCGTGTATGTTGTCTCTTCTGAATGACAGAGAGTTACTTCCCTGCAAGGGATCTCTCGGCACAGCCTTCACCTTATTGGGCAGGTCAGCCACAGCTGTTATGCTGTGTTTATGCAGTTCGTGACATATCTTCTCCATCTCCTTAGCAACAGCCTCCTGGTTTTCCATGTCCCCCCCTGTAATGAACACATACTTTTCTCTTCCTCTGTGTCCACTTTCTGAAATATTAATACATGTTGGTAGAGGCTGGTCATTTATAAATCGGGGTTGGTGGTGGGTGACTAGTAATAGCACTGTAATATTCAGAACAATAGGTGTCCAAGGGACATTTCAAATAAAGTTTATTGTAACAAATATGTTAAATTACACTGCTTTGGGGTTGGATTAAATTACAGTACAGTCAAGTCCCGTTAATCCGACATGGTTTGTTGCATATGATTATGTCGGATTAAAGAGTATGTCGGATGAACGAAATTACGTAGTATCAACATTCATGATCGAAAATCGGACAACTACACAATAGATATAGAAACAAACACGTGAAAAAAATGAAGAATCAAATATTCATATTGTTATGTAACATTTTTAGTGAAATATATTTTCTAATCATGCAACCTCTAAAGCTTAACACAAAACAACTATTATGGACTGTATGACTGACTGTGTCTGATTTACGAGACTGATTAATGAGTGATTTCGGTAATTCATTGCAAATTAGGTGTGCCGGAGTCGGAATGTGAGACTGTCGGATTACCGGGTCTAAATAGCACTGATTTAATAGGTTCCCATCATTAGTGTCGGATAAAGCCGATTGTCGGATTAACAAGTGTCGGGTTAACGAGACTTGACTGTAATTGACTTTGTGAATTTTTATGATATCTGGAACTACTTATATTCACAAATCAAACAGTGAGTGAATGTTGTTTAAGGCTGTAGTCACCAACGTTACAGCTATGTAACAACTGCATATCATTGAGCAAATTATGGCCAGGCAAAACAGCCTGTGCCAAATTCTTCTTCACCTGAACAGTAGATTTTAGTGTAATCATGTGGACTATTAGTAGCTGAGCTTACTGGACCAAACAGAATTTTACTAGATTCGGGCTTCGGACTAGTGGCAAAAGTCACAGACTGAAACAGTGGTCAACAGCTTGAGCATAGATCATCACGGTCAGGGCACAATGTCATACTGTCAGTGCACACATTGTATACCCACCCGATCCTCACTGAGTGTCCACTGTATTCCGCAACCGCAGACTAGCGGAATATTTTGCAGATATGCCACTCTGTGAAGTAACGTACCATCTTGTAGAAAATCACATTTCGTGCATAACTTGTGCAGAATTTTGCTTTTATTTGCCGCAGAATTCGTCAATAACACTGCAGAATTTTAACATGTGAGTCATGTAAATACACTGCTGAATCTTTACATGTGAATGGCTATTTATTGTGTTTTGAAGTGAAGTTGACTTTTGCATTGTCTGTATGTTTACACTAGTTATCTTATGATTCAGTTCAATAAGCTATTCTAGCCATGGATAAGTTTACTATAAAAATGTCTGTGACAAGTATAACAGGTCCAAAACTGCGAATTTATTTAGGAAGACTAAGCTCAAATGAATGTAGAATTGTGAACAAATTATCAAATTTACAAAAAATGACTGCATAATTTAATTAGGAGAATTTACAAAAATTGACTGCATAATTTTAATTCCGGAATACAGCGGGGACTGCTCATTACTCAGCTCTCATGAGTGAGTGAGTGAGTGAGTGAGTGAGTGAGGTTTAACATGGCTTTGAAAAATATTCCAATTGTATCACAGCTTGTCAGCTTAATGTGGGAAGAAAGCCTGAAGTGATGTAGGTCTACGATGTTTACCACTTGGTGAAACCCACAAGCACAGGTATGGGGCTAAACCTAGGATCATAATCGTCAGTTCCTTATGACAAGCATAGGGTACTGAGAACCTATCCTAGAATCCCTAAAATAGGGGCAACAACTGATGAAATCACATTCCACCTACCAGCCTCCCTTCCATAAACAGCTCCCCCTTCGTCTGATCCATGACGTCTGTGCTGGCAAACTGGAATGACTTCTTCTCTCACAGCTGGATCTGAAAGTCGCTTCTCAGTTCCTTGGCGTAAATCTTGTCCCCGAAGCTTCACCTGGTCTTTTTCACTGAAACCTGGCCCATCTTCCACTTGTGGAGGCCTGTCTGACTGTCTATTTGAGTGTCCTCGGGGAACGGGAACAGCAGCAGCAGGAACATCATGAAGGTACTGGTAAAGTTGGGATGCAACTGGATGAGTCTGTGTGGCAGTAGGAATTTCTGAGGTGTGTGGAACCTGCCAATTTCTTGCATCAAGTCCACGTTGCTGCACAAAGTGAGAGCCCCTACCTGTAGCATGTTGAGGTGGACTTCTCATATTGTAGCGATGTGGAATCTGAGAGACCATCTGAAACTGACCACCTTGAATTGGCTGAGGAACACATTGATTGTTTGAAGGAACTCCTTGGATTGTCTGAGGAAAACGCTGATGTGTCTGAGGTGCTCCTTGAAAAATCTGAGGAACACCTTGGATGGGCTGTGGAGCTCGATGGTAGGTCTCCAGGGGTCCATGATAGGTCCTCGGCGCTCCATTGTATTGGTACAAATAGCCCTTCTGCAAAGTTTGATGTGATGGATAATGTTCATCATCCGGGTTACCAAATTCAGAATAGGCATAAGTCGGTGACGAGTAGGCATGGCCACGTGTATCAGTAGGCATGTAGTTGGGATAGGTAGATGGACAGATACTGGACTTTTGGGGTTCTGATTTGTCGGCGGATGAAGGATACAGTGTAACTGGTTTGCCATTATTACGATTTGCCATTTGTGGTGTTGAGCTGGAGTGTTCATTTCTTGCAATATCATGTGCCATTGGGGACTGCCTGGATGCTTTACTGGCCTTGTTTTGAAAGGTTTTAACTGACGTGCTGATGGAATCCCATTCTGCCGGTGGCAGCCAGTCATTGTTGTCAGGTATGGAAAGACTGTTTCCAGGTCCATTTTGGGTCAAACTGAGTTCTTCCTGACTATTATGGTCACCCTGGTTTAGTAGAAGATTGGTACATGTTCCATTGTACTGGGTAGAGTTCCCATCACCTGTCCCATTGTTCTGGGTACTGTTGCAATCACCTAGTCCGTTGTTCTGGGTACTGTTTGCATTACCTGTCCCATTGTTCTGGGTACTGTTCCCATCAGCTAGTCCATTGTTCTGGGTACTGTTTGCATTACCTGTCCCATTGTTCTGGGTACTGTTCCCATCAGCTAGTCCATTGTTCTGGGTACTGTTCCCATCGCCTAATCCATTGTTTCTTATCCCAGCATTAATAGGCTCGTCTGCACCCGATTCTATGCCATAGCTGCAATTGTCTTCATTTGACATCATCCTTTGCAGGGAGCCTTGTCTGTTGTCTCTACACCATTGGTTGTTTGCAAGAAACAGTTTTTCATTGCACCTATCAGGACCTGTCTGAGTTAACTCTGTGATGTTCCTCATGGCCCCAGGCCTTGCTTCCTGCATCCCTTTCATCCCTGCATCCTGTCCCGCCATCTTTCCCCTGGCATCCTCCTGTCCTTCACCCCCCTTCAGTCCTTCAGGAGAGGTGCGAGGCTGCTGCCATGCCTGCTGTGAAGGTGGGGTATGCATGACACTCTGCCTAGCCTGACCTCTAATATGGCAGCTTTCATCCTGAGGGTAGGGTGGAATGTAAGGGTATCCCCAGGTGTCTCGGTTCTGGTGGCTGGGAAATGCAGGACAGTTCATGCATGTACACAGACTCTCAGTATTCTGTACACCTCCTTGGTAGCCTCCTGCCAACTGACTCTGTTCTGTGTGATAGTTCCCACGGATTTCTGAAACAGAAATGCACTAATAAACAGGGAACAACTACAATACCATTTTCAGATGATGCAATTTCAATAACTCATATATCAATACTTGTGGATCGACATCAGTTTGGTAAATACCCGGAAACTAGAAATAACATTTATTAAAATACCCTTTATTTACCAAACAAACTTAAAATAATCAAGACTCTGATTTTCACTAAATAGTAAAGTAACTGAATGTCGGATACTGATTGTACAAGACAAGACAAAAGCTTCTTTATTCATTTTGGTTTCAGTCTTTTAAAATTTGTCAGTAAGGTTATTTGTATTTAAAGGTGTTTGATCAGATTTTTATTTTCTGTGATCTACCCCGGTATGTGAAAAAAGTCCATCCTATTCACTGTCGATCACAAGGTAAAGTCAAAGTAAGCTGATCAGAAAGTGAGTAGGTTGAGTTAACACTGATTTGAATAGTATTTCAGTTATTTCAAAGCATATCAGATTGATGTGGGAGGGAAGCTTGAACCAATGCAGGACACTGCAGGTCAGATGTTTATCATTTGTGAAAACCACGATCACAGATATTGTGCTGACATACCTTACAACATACTCAGGGAAAATCTGGAAATCAAAGGGATTTTACAGGGTTTCAGGCATGCATAAGGGACACAACTCTGCACAGCAAATTACAGGACTGTCTTGTTTGTTGTTAAACGAGGCACTCGGCAATATTCCAGCTATATGACGGCGGTCTGTAAAATAATCGAGTTTGAGTCAGACAATCCAGTCATTGACACAAGCATTGATCCACGCAATTGGGATATGATTACATGCATCAACCAAGTCAGCAAGCCTGACTACCCGATCCCGTTAGTCGCCTCTTACAACAAGCATAGTCGCCTCTTACGGAAAGCATGTGTTGCTGAAGACCTATTCTAACCCACATCTTCACGGGTCGTATCAAATGCTGAAATCTCACAAACCATCTCACTTTCAACTTCTAGTTTCATATTCACAACACTGACACCTACGTATTTTAAACTGAAACTTAGCAACACATGCAGAGGGGTTGCAACATCAACATTAATTCTGGTGTTTGTTCTGTTGAGAGCACAGCAAGACAGGTCACCTACAGAGTAACTGTCAGTCTTTACAATTATACTCCTTGACAAGGTAGGTGGACTGTCATGTATTACAAATTCCGGCCATTTCTGGCAATGCAGATATGACATCACATGATGACGTCACATCTATCATGCACAAGACAGGCAATCACCTTGTCGCCTTGTCCTGGGGCATTCACACTCTACCTTTGAAGAAGTAAACAACATGTAAACTCTTCTGTGTTTATTTGGAGGGCTCTCATACACAACAAACTGGCGACGAGAAACAACAAACAAGCTCTGTGGAGCGTGAATCATAAAAAGTGAACAGTGAACAAGAAAATGTCAAATGCATGTCACAAGAAAAACGTTCTTGGGCATGTTGACGAATAAAGATAACGAAAAAATGAATCAATAAAAAGTGTTTGCAAAATGTTAACGAAATGCACATCACAAGAAAACTGTATGGACAACACCCCATGCCATAAGTTCACTTGGACCTTTCAGTCCTGGTGGGTTAAACATTGTGAAACATACCTTGCCATGAATTGAGTATTTCTCTCACCCCCGCCACATCCATCTCGCGGAGAATGGTCAGGAGCCTCCATATTGGTTGATGTCCGAACTCTGTCAGCAGTATACCAGTAATGCTTCGGTCCCGATTCCTTGCCCGACAACCCTGGCATGACATAAACATGATCATACAGTTTGTTGTTTGTTTGTTGTTTAACGCCGCAATCAGCAATGTTCCAGGTATATGACAGCGGTCCTTAAATAATTGAGCCTGGACCAGACAATCAAGTGACTAACATCATGAGCATTGATCTACACAATTGGGATATGACATGCATCAAATTAAGTCAACGAATCTGACCATCCAATCTCCAGACAAGTATGAGTTGCTGAAGACCAATTATAACCCGGATCTTCATGGGGTACATCATTCAGTATAGAATCTTATTTTAATACATGGAAGCCATAACCGGATATAAATTGATACCCCAATCTCAATAAAATCAGATCTTAGTTCTCGCTACCGCTAAACAAAGATCTGAGGACATCCCATTACAGGTCATGTCAGACCGACCTTGCGCTAACTTTGACCGGCCAATGGAATGACCAATCAGAAGGCAGCTTTCCCGTGCTTTACGGCACTAATTTCAAATTGGCAACTATGCCTCGAAACATATTTTGACAAATTCTCGATTACAAATTTGAAACCTGAACAAAAGAACATTCTGGGATGGCTAATAGATGGTCTAGATTGTATGGATTCAGTCGTTAAACCCGTAACTATCTTCGGAGTTAAAGTTTTCGAGGTTGCATGATTCCGACTGTCACTTTCACAATCTGGTAAGCGATGCTCTGATTGGTCGGATGAAAGGTCATTATGACGTGACCCCTAAAGGGATGTCCTCAGATCTTTGTTTAGCGGTAGCTAGTGAGAACTGAGGTCTGATCTTAATGAGATTGATTGACACCCAAGATTTCAAGCAAGATAAACTTTGAGTCAAAACAAATTTATTTCTACTACTAGGTTGGTACAAATTGTCAGATTAGGAACTGTTTACTGCAGCCCTGTCAAAAACTATTTAGATACAATCATAAAACGATGTGATCATTGACGTAATCTGAAGCTTCATCTTTACTCAAACACACCAAAGTCTGTCTATTCGTCTGTCTGTCTGCCAGTCCGTAATTATTTCGTTTCAAGAGCACAACTTGGAAAACATTCAGTATATTTCAAACAGATATATCAAACATTCTGAAGTGGTGCCTTTTTCTATTTACGGATATTTGGCATTTTTACTTTTCCCAATTTCCATGGAAACAATCTGTACTTAGTCTCACAAGGGGGTTGATTTCATTTCCGGAGCGCAACTAAAAAAACATTCAATATCTTTCAACAAAACTTGGCAGATATATCAAACGTATCCTGAAGTGGTGCCTTTTGCTATCTGAGGATATTTTGCATTTTTAATTTTCTTGATTTCCATGGAATCAATTGGACTTGGTCGTGAGATGGCGTAGATGGCGCTTTCAGAGCAGTGCTCGAAAATAACGAAAATTCTTTAACAAAACATGCACGGTTCATCATGTCCTGCAGTGGTGCCTTTAGTTTTAGGAATATTATCCCTGTTTCCATGGAGACAATACTTGGTTGGCCCATTGGGTTTATGTTACTAAAATGGGGACTGGAGTGATATGTCATCTTCTGATGACTCTGTTATTTTTAATTAAACAATATGTCACATGACTAACCACGGGTCCAGCTAGTCCTGTGGGTACCTGAGATGTACTCAGGACCCACCAGACCCAAGTACTCGAGTTATCTGTCCCAGTCCTACCATCGATCGTGTAATTCAACATCAATATTTAAACTTGTCACCGAAATATTGCAACTGGGCCATGAACAACTGTGCCGCTGCAGTCTGCTTTTTTCTTGACCCTGTCCAAATTACATATTTCTTTCCATTCCTTGCCCTGAACCTAACTTCCTGACCCATCCATCCTACAGGTAATGATGAAACCCTTACCTCAGTTTGAAAGTGTGACAATCCAAGCAGTTCAGCAAATCTCCTGTAATCAGACCTTCCCAATGTTGACTCAGGATCTAAGACATCGGAAAGAAACTTGCGACAGGATTGTGGAAGACATCTTATCGGGATCTGCAATGCTTCTCCCTGGATGTGCCTCAGATCCAAGTCGTCCATGTTGTTAGGTAACTGCCATCCGCCACATGACCATGGCATCATTCCAGGTTACCATGGCTACCACACCCATGTTGCATTATGCTAGTCTACCCATTCATCCAAGATGGCTGCAAAAAGACGCAAAGTTCAACATTATTGAAATCACATGGTCTACAGATACTTTACGTATCAATAAGCTTGCTTTGATCAAAGTGAAAATTTATTTGTGTACCCTGGTAGCTCAATAATGGCAGCTAATTTTGAAGTGTCAGTTATGCCCATTTCTCAGCCATTTTGGCAGGAAACGTTATGAAATCATACATGCAGTTAGAAAGTGATATGCAGATTAATAACTACAAAACAATTTTGGACATTTAGATTTATGATCATGCTATGTCTGTTCACTTCACTTGCCCTTCACATACCCACTTAGGGACTGGTCATTTATAAAAGGGAGTGAGTCAGAGCGAATCAGTAAAGATCCGGGTTAGAATAGGTCTTCAGTAACCCATGCTTGCCCTAATTATGCTAATAGGCGACTAATGGGATGGGGTGGTCAGGCTCGCTGACTTAGTTGATGCATGTCATCATATCCAAATTGTGTGGATCTATGCTCATGATGTCAATCACTGGATTGTCTGGTCCACACTCGATTATTTACAGACTGCTGTCATATAGCTGGAGCATTGCACAGAGTGACTTTAAACCACAAACAAAATGAAACCTGTGACGGACAAATCAGAATCAAATATTTTCCAAATTCAAGTTAGAATATGCATTAAATAAGTCAAGTAAGTGGTTTCTGAAAGAAATTTTTAATACAGTATATATTGACTCTTGACACTAGTATGGCCAATATTTGTGAAATACTCCTGATGATTTATTCTTTTGAAATTTCTGTTATTTATGTTTGCATATTCTTGTTCATGTTGTGTGCCCTTTTATCATGACCTCTAAAACAGAATATTGCAAAGATTCCAGAAATATTACTACTTTTTGCTCAACATATTTTATTGCTGTGACACAACTACAAAAGTTAAAGGGAGTCATCAAGACTTGAAGCAGATGGATTACAGACATCTTGTCATTGTAAATAAGTCTAATTTAGCATGAACCTGATATACCACAGACTTCCTGTAAGCACATTATTGGCCAAACTGACATTTTCAACATGGATACCTCGATTGAAATCAGACTGAGATGCTGTGCAAATTTGTTCCGGCATAATTTCAGGGAAATATTAAGAAACTTGACAGTTTCAGTGGAAGATAGGTGAACATGGTAAATATGACATAAATAAGTGAGTGAGTGAGTGAGTGAGGTGAGTGAGGTGAGTGAGGTGAGTGAGTGGGTGAGTGAGTGAGTGAGTGAGTGAGTGAGTGAGTGTGGTGTTACGTTGCATAATGACCCTCATTCCATCCTTAAATACAGTCCATAATCACCCTTATCATACAGAGACAATGTCTCAGTTTCAACCATGGCACAAATTACTGTAAACTACGGCTATAAGAACTCAAAGGGACCACTAATTTAAGTTTGCTATAACCGTAGTTTGATATAAACATATATATATATACAGCAAATGGAGGAGACCAAAAACGTTTGTTATATCCATCAGTTCGTTATAAGCGTGTTTGTTATCAACATAGTTTACTGTACAGTGTTCTCAGGGCTCAAGATACATGTTTGTGCCAGAAGTATTTACTAGGGCTGGGACGAGTCCAAATTTACTACCCGGATACCCTACCCCCTATTACCCGACCCTACCCGGGTACCCACTGTAGGTCTCAAAATGTCCGATTGGGAATATTTTTAGCATAGCCCTGGCAAAACATATCTATATACATGTATTAAACAATCTGGTCATTCATACACTGAAGTTGAATTAAGTTATATCTTTATTCAACCATATGAAAAATCAAAAGGAAAGGGTGAATAGTCAGAAAGAAATGCGAACATTAGTGACTTGTAGTATAACCATAGAGTTCTAGATAATTTTTGTCATTAAACTATATATCACGTGACTAACCACGGGTCCGGGTAGTCCTGTGGGTACCCGGGTCCTACGTAATACCCTCCTGAATTGGGTACCCGAGTTACTCGTCCCAGCCCTAGTATTTACTCACAAGTTATGAATCACACTGGCTATTGATAGTTTGCTTTGGGTATTCAATATATTTTTTGCTCCCTTCAGTCTAGGTATTTTACTTTTGTAAAGATATTTCTGTTAAAAATGCTGTTTCAGGTAACTTCTGATTTCTATCTGTTTGTGGGCTGCCTCTAATGTGTAACATGTTGCATAAACTCATAACCATCTAACTGACATAAAGTAAGGCATAGCAACTTTTTTCGCAATATTCACTATTACTGAGTTTGTGTATGTGATGCCTGCAAGCCATCATCATCCCGAGGCAAGGGAGTTAACTGACTGTAAAAGTCCAGTTTTCATCCTTGCCGAACTAGCCTGGAATTTCTGGGCTTGATTGTAGCGCCACCAGTCGCTATTACGAGTTATGTCCCTTTCTATGTCCCTCCTATTGACCAATCAGATTCCACCTCTCATATCACTTACATTTTTTTCAAACAAAATGGCGTCGGCCAATCAAGAGATCTGATTGATAATGATAATGTATCTTGTGATAAAATTGGTCTTACTTCACAAAGTGCATCAAATCACATGTGCACCTTCATTAAAACATGAAATGATATAGAAAAAATCTGTTGACGCAGAGTTGCTGGTACGCATGCTTTGCAAATCCTGCAAGCGATCGAAATCTGTATGGCAGTTTATGACTTGATTTGATTTTGTTACACGATTTTGATTAGGCTATGCATAGACTCGTCGACTAGTCTAGCCAAAATATAACTCCATAATGCCAGCTTATAGCGGCAGGGACACTGGACTTCTATATTTTATAGTTAGTTAACTCCTTTGCCTCGGGAACATGTCATTCCATAAGTAAATAGAGATTTGCAAAGTAAGACTGGTACGCCAGTTAAAAAAGATCCATTGGACAATAATGCAAAGTGTTGCTACAGTATTAAGGTTGTGAAAGTTTTCAAGCAAGCAAGTTAAACTTGACTGAGTAATGTTGATGTATTTTGCATATTTTATGCAAATACACAACATATCTGAAGCCCTGGTCCTTAACAGTTTACGGGCTAGGGACAATGAAGCATCATCTTCTTTTAAAGTGAGTGAGTGGGTTTGGTTTAAAATGCTATAAACAGTATTCTATACAATCATAGGTTTCTGCTGTGCCTTAGCAGAATTGTGCACATCAAATTGCGAGGCATCAGACAACTGGGCCACAGATGCCCCCCTTTTAAAGGAAACCTATGCACCACGGCCTGTTTCCCGTTTTCAGTCTGGGACTAGATGTTTGGAGTGAGTGAGTATGGTTTTGAACCGTCTTTAGCAATATTGCAGCAAGGGGTTTCACACATAGTGCCCTGTGGGGAATAAAACCTGAGCCTTCAAAAAGCTAACGCCTTACACACTAGGCTACCCACTGCCCCATTTGTGAATTTGAGACATAAACTGTGTGTAATTAGAATAACAATAAACAGTAAGATTGATAAATATCATAAAATATTAACAATCACTCAAACAAAGTTGTGAGTGAATGGTTGAATCAAAAGTTGATGGGAGCGCCACTTTGCCTGAGCCTTTTATTGCTTCAAAGGCTAGATCTAAAACATGTACAACTCTCAAGGACATATGCAACAGTATTTGTACTGTATTATCAACAACAACCTCCACACACACACACACACAAAACAACAACAATATTTCAAAACATATGTGGAAAAAAGACACAAATAAGGACAGGAATCATGAACATTCTCCTCTCTTCTGGCAATGTTCGTTCCAAGGTGTTGAAAAACATGTGATGACACATCCAAAGGACAATTTGTGAATGACCTACTTTCAAATAAGAAAATAATGTCACTTTCCTTAGTCATTTATCTTAACTATTTATATTTGCAAAATCTTAGTAATCTACAATTTTTTTTATCTGAATCAGTACATGGAGAAAACAAATGGATGGATACATGTGGTGAAACGTAATAAGTCGACTTAAACTTCAAAATGGAGTTTGTGTTATCGTGATACAAAGTTTTAAAGTGATCTTGTACCTTGCAATCACTGTTAGGATTTTAACATTGATTTGACCCCAAACCCCCAAATAATTTTTTTGTGGATAATGTACAGAGCAACTATAGTGATCATACGACATGATAATTAGTGGTGATATAGTATTGTTTTGTGAAGTATGTGCGCGTTATTACCCAATTACTATAAATAGATGTAATGGCTACGCACTTAATGTATTCTGTAAACAAGACATTAGTTTGAGCAATAATTGTATCCTATATTTGACATAATGAATGTTTAAGAACGTTAGAAATCTGTTTATTCTCATTTTTTAGCAACAGATTATATGTTATAATCGACTTACTAGTGCACCTCGGTGCACTTGTGCAACACCAACACCTACCTGTTTGCCGTTCCAGGAATTGTGCAAGTTCGATTGGATAAACTGGTTTGCAAATATACCCGTAATAAAATGAATGTTTGTTGGTATTCACACGAAGAAATAATAATACACTATTCCTGCTCGCAATACGTATCTTGTTTTAGGTCCATCTATTTTTTCTATGTGTTAATAAACCCAGTATCAATTGGAAGAACAATACGCCTTTCAACCTTATCCAATCGAACACGGTCGATTTGACTGGTTCTGTTGTTGAACAATATCTTAGTTAACATATATAAGATGGAGCCCAGTCGAACATTGCTTACGTTGAGATCCTCTCACGAAAAATCAAAGGGGCATTTTATATACACGTCAGTGCCATCTCACGAGATTCCTTTTAAATCCCTTAACAACCATTATTTGAAATATATTGTCTGCGGTGTTCGAACAAAGTGTCTATATAAGTTTTAATTCGAAATACTGATGTATATATAATGCCCATCGTTATCCCTTTACCGGATAACATAAGATAGCTACGCGATAAATCGCAAAGAACAATGTTATATTATGACGTCATTTCTGGAGATTCGAACATGTGCTCGCAACTTGATGACGTCGTATATTGGGCCACAGTACCATGTAACTAATAATAATAACACACAAAGACGCAGTGGCCGATCTATCACATCCCAAAGCGGGAGAGCTATGACAGTGGGCAATGGGAGAAAGGGTAATCGACGCGAGGATTGTGAGAATATGCGGGAAATACCAACCCGTGCATAAAATGGACTTGTCCGACATTGCTGAGGTCTATTGAGGGAGTCATCATTATTTAAATACGGGTAAATATGTTTAAAGTTTGTACATTTTATCACCCTCCTTAAAGAGGCTGTACATAATGTTGATATCTCATATAAGAATTAAACGACTGCGCCCCTAATGGTTTTTTCCCTCTGTATCGTTTCATGTAGAGCGCCATGTTGGTTTCTCTAAAATATTTGAGTTTTTAAAATGAAATGAGAGTGACTTAATCTGGACATGTTTTAACCAATCGCCTACAATCGCCTGTCACATTATGTGACTTAGTCATGTTTCATCATGTAGATAATCCATGCAATTTATTCATTTTGTTTAGGGGAAATATATCACCTTTCGTTAAAGTTAACCGAACTATATTCTGTACGAATAAACTATTGCGCATTGAGCTACATCACGCGCTGACCTTGCAATGCTGTACATCGTATCTTATTCAAGCTGTATCACTGAGAGTGAGTGATTATCTCCATCACCCAAATAGCTCTATTGCGCACTGCCTTTGCAATGTACTGATGTTATTCAGGTAGCCAGCGAGAAAGGTTCCAGGGAGGAATTCATGTCAAGCATGTAACGCGCACTCAATCTTTCTCCCTTCACACTGCTATTGCAACTTACTGTTGCAACACGATTAAATACCAGGCTTCTATAAAGTTTGACTTTGTTCAATGAACAACACATGGAGAAAACAACGGATTTGATATGAGAAATTTGTAATAAGTAGTCGTGTATGGTGCTTGCTGTGGATAGTTGAGCACCGTATTGCTTCAAGTGGTTCACTGTATGTAAAGTATGATTCACACCGTTTCATGCGGCGGTTTATGGTTCTGCATGGTTTATTGCTTTGACAGTTTTTTTTAACTTCGGCAGAGATTATACACCCGTATATGTTCTTTGCTTCTGGATACATCGGAAATCAACAGGTTGGTCTGTAGTTTGCAATTATTTTCCTATAAAAAAAATACGGATGCGTGATATATTCATGATGTTTAGATTGAACATTATAACATTCTTCTAAACATACGAGGGTTGGCTGAAAAGTTCTAAGCCTAACCGTGAAAGACCCGTACCAAGTCGATGGTTTTCATTTATTTCTCCACATAGTCCCCTTCCAGGTTTACACACTTTTGCCAGCGATACTGCAAGGCCTGGATGCCGGTCAAGAAGAGATTTTCTTCAGCCACCCTGAAAAAGTCATTCACAGCGGAAATGACGTCATCATTACTAGGAAAATGGCGACCGGCTAGTTCCTTTTTTCATTTTGGGAAACAGGTGGAAATCTGACGGGGCAAAATCGGGTGAATAAGGGGGGTTGTCAATGAGTTCGAGGCCACAATCATGGATCACTGACATGGCAACCACCGATTTGTGAACAGGAGCTTTGTCTTTGTGGAACAGGACTCCTTTAGTGAGCATTCCCCGTCGCTTAGCTTTGATAGCTTCACGCAACTGTCTCAGTAGGTCAGCATAATATCTTCTATTGATAGTCTGGCCTTTTTCAAGATAGTCAATCAGCAGAATACCCTTGGAATCCCAAAAGACTGAAACCATCACCTTTCCAGCAGAAGGAACCGACTTGGCTTTTGATGGGGGGGGGGGGGGGGGGGGCTGGTGATTCCGGATGCTTCCATTGTTTAGACTGAATTTTGGTTTCTGGCTGAAAGTGATGAATCCAGGTCTCATCCGTGGTTACAAATCGGGCCAAAAAATCATCGGTATCTGCTTCGAAACGGCATAAAGTGTCACTGGACGTCAGGAATCTGACACGTTTCTGACCCGCTGTCAAGAGCTTTGGCACCCATCTTGCAGAAACTTTTGTCATTCCCAACTCGTTGGTGATAATATGCTCAACCCTCTCATGAGAGAGATGCCCACAACACTGGCAATATGTCGAGTGGTCAATCGTCGATCAGCAATCACCATGTCATGCACCCGGGTAATCTGTGTTTGAGTTAGCCCTTTCAGCTGCAGGTACTTGATGACTGCCCTATAGCCAGTTTTGTCCATTTCTGGTGATTTCAATGGGTAGGTTCACAAGATGGTCTGGTACAAAGACAATAATAACACTACAGTTGCAGTTCTTATGTCTATGATTCATTAAATGATTGTACTTGTTGGTGGCAAAAGTTTGTTTCAATCCGATTGAGATATCCCACTTAGGCTTAGAACTTTTCAGCCTTCCCTCGTACTTCAAATCTAAACCGGAAGGAATCACACCACAAACCCAGTTAACCAAACCGAATCGTACACAAGAGTAATGAGCGTGTGAGTTTGGTTTAACGCCGCTTTGAATACATCTTCCCGAGGCAAGAGAGTTAACTGACTTTCATAGTCAGTTAACTCACTTGCCTTGGGGAGATGTTTTGAATGGTATTCCGGTTACATCACGGCGTGTCAGATTGGTGTGTGAGGAAAGCCCGAGTGAATCAGATCTTAGACGTTCACCCGAGCACGGGTCTTGTAACGACAACGTAATCAGGGCGAACCGGGATTCGAACACAGTCATAGGTTCCTGGCGTGCTCAAGGGACGCAACTGTACCAAACTTTCATACAACAAAGATGTGTTAGATGTGATATGTATTGTGAAACAGTGGCAGTATTACACTATCACAAACTACAAAATATATGCACAATAAGTGCAAAACACACAGGCACCTTCAACAAAGGAGGTACATTAAAACAATTGTATTTAAAACATGTACTATAATGTTATGGATACAATATGAGAATTAAGCAAAACTATAGTAATGTTGTACATACAAGGAATTTGTCTATAATTGTTGATATGATAAATAATAAGAAATTGTTTCTGGATAACTGTTGGTAAAAAATATGTAAGAGTGTACCAGATTCTTTGTCATAATTGAGGATTATTTGGGATTCTCTTTTTTGGTTGGATTTTATACAAGACCGTGCATGACGTTGCTCATCTTCTAAGACATCATATGTTTCAAAGAGACAGTGTTCCAATGGGGTTGGGGGGCACGGGTGGCCCAGTCGTCTATTCGCTGTGCAGAGTTGCGTCCCTTTGGCACGCCAGAAACCGATGACTGTGGGTTCGAATCCCGGTTCGCCCCGATTATGTTTCTAGGTTTGTCAGCACCATACCCGTGCTCGTGGGTTTCATCGAAGTGGTAAACGTCTGAGACCTGCATCACTTCGGGCTTTCCTCCCACATTAAGCTGACACGCCGTGATATAACTTACATAATGTTAAAAGCGGCGTTAAACCCAATTCACTCACTCACTCACTCACTCACTCCAATGTGGTTGGTGTTTTTGTATATCAACCAGTTTAAATTTTTAGTTTGTGATAACTTAAACGAAGTTTTGAGAAATGTGACCTATGCGCTTTGTTTTTACAATATGAAAGATAATTTTCAATATTTATGGATGACTTGACCAACCTTTATGTTCTTACCTTGCTGTTGGATAAATGGCAATCCTTTAATGAATGCGTGAATATATTTTTTACATTTGGACTGAAGTTATTTACAGTGGATTCATTCATTTATTTGTGTTTACCATTTAAAAAGTTTGTTCCATTCAACCCAGCCAACATTTTGACCAGAAAGCTTGATAGTTGCTGCCAAAGCATGTTTAAAATGACATTAGTTGTGTTATCTATATAGGATTTGTAATCAATTAGTTTTTATATTATTGGTACTAAAAGTGAGTACATGCATATACCAAGTTCTGCCTGACAGGCCCAGTTATGTGTTTTCTTGCCTTGGTTTTCCCTGTGCTGACCATTTATAGACACCGTTTCTTTTATTGTGCTTTCCAAAGATAACTACATTAATAACAGCCAGTTTGTACTTTACACCAATTCTGTCCTCCCCCAGCTTACACTTCCTTCCTCTGCACATTACATTATACGACGGGGAACAATTGATGCTCTGCAGCAATCACTACTACAGACGTCCCATATGGACTGACCTATGAATACTAGTAATGCTGTGCTTGTCGTATGAGGCGACTAACGGGATCGGGTGGTCAGACTCGCTAACTTGGTTGATGCATGTCATCGTATTCCAATTGCGTGGATCGATGCTCATGATGTCAATCACTTGATTGGCTGGTCCAGACTTAATTATTTACAGACCGTCGTCATATAGCGGGCATATTGCTGAGTGCGGCGTTAAACAAACAAACTAACATACTAGTAATGTAAGTGAAGAAAATGAATTCTGCAAAATTACTGAGGTGAACGAAATTGATCTATTGGGCGATACTGACTTTGAAGCCTTGTTTTCGGAAGTGACAGGCATCTCGCACCAAGACAATTGCGAATGACAACAATGTTGTGCCCTGCTCTGATGTGGACACAGATCAAAGCGACTGCTCCTGATCAACCCCAAACTAAAACCCGATTTACTATTGTATCGGAAAACCTTACAAGCTCACAGGTTCACACAGTTTAACCAGCGCTTTTAAATCGTTCACACTTCAATGAACCATCGAAACTGACGTTCAATTCTTAAGTGCAAATATCACGCTCACAAGTGTATATGTTTCAGCCATCCGGACACCATTGTTGACGTCATTCGAAAGTATTATGACGTAAGGTCACACTAGAAAAAAGGTCAAGGTCGCCAAGAAGCCGAGACGTGTTTGACTCGAGCTCTCGATCATGATTAGGAAAATCAAAGCTCTTCGATCAAAACTGAGTCAAATGAGGTAAAAAATGAAAAGTTATATGTAAAAGACACTAGGGTTTCACCCAAAATACAAATCTGTGCATATACTTTACCTTGTGAGGACATATTTTACCACATCTACGAAAACTGGGTACACACTGTCACGAAGATCAACTAATCTGGAGGAAATAAAAGAACTTCAATTCTCCAATCTGAGCAAAATATATCGCTCAAAATGGACAACATCAACACAACACTGCAGAGCGCTATCGATAAGATTGAAACAGAAGTATCCAACCTGGAAACAAGAGTAGATGTCGCGGAAAGAAGTACGGAACATTACAGCGAGGACGTGAAGCAGGTGAGAGAAGAGTTAAATACTTTGAGAGCAGATTTTACGCTCGAGATAGGTATGCTCCGTCGTGAGGCCATAAGAAAAGAGCAGCATGATAGAAAAATTAACTTACTGTTTTACGGAATACCAAAGAAGACAGTGAAATAGTTCTGAGGCAGTTTATGATTGACACTCTCAAACTATCAGAAGAATATGTGGACAATGTGAAATTCAAAGATGACCATCGACTGCCAGGCCCGAGGTATCAGGAAAAGTCGGGTGAAACGCAAAGGCCACCGACTATCATTGCAGCTTTCATGTCGATTAAAGACAGGAATGAGGTGTTCGATGCCAGGAGAGCTGTGTATGGCTCGAATATGAATGTACAAACAGACCTCCCGATATCTATATTAAAAAAAGATCAGATCATCCTTCAACAACATAAAAACATATGAATTAAAAAAGGAAAAGGGCCTGTATACCAGGGTAAGAATTAAAGGTATTGACCTTGTGCTTGAGGTGAAAAATCCTGAAGACCCAAATACCTCCTGGACACTAGTGAATGTGCCTATCCCTGACACCCTTGCCCAGTACTAATATGGCAACTAAAATGAATATCATGGTTACGAAATATATATGCATATTCGCCCCTTCATGTTTGTTTGCATATTAGACCCTGACCATAAAACAGGTGTGTATAATACCAATAGACCTACCATGTTTTGTTCACAATATAGAGCATGATTGACCATGAAACATATATGCATAATAGGCCTACCATTTCATGTTTACACTATAGAACATGAAATATTTATGCATGATGAGCCCAGTGGTGTTTACATTATAAATAGAACTTGATCATGAAACATGGCCTATCAAGTTTTTGTTTACACTATAGACAACAATCAATAAACATATAAGCATAATAATCCTACCAGGTTTTTGTTTACATTATATGGCATGACCAAAAACCTATATGCATAAGAGGCTTACCAAGTTTCTTTTTATACTATATGGAATGACCATAAAACCTATATGCATAATAGGCCTCGCAGATTTTTGCTTACACTATAGACTACAATCAAAAAACATATATGCATAATATTCCTACTACGTTTTTGTTTACATTATATGGCATAACCGTAAAACCTATATGCATAGAGGCATTTTCTGTGTGGAGGCGGTGTTTCTGTGGACGTTAAATTGTCTTGCAACATCACGTTGACTCGATCCTGCTTCAAGCATAATAACGGCTTACAGACGCTCATTTTCGGACAGGCGTGGCATTTCGTAATGTTGAATAATTGCGCAATTTTGTTGTTTTTCTGAGTGGTTGTTGTCAGCACGATGATAAAAAATGCATATGGAATCCCGTTAACGCACATGTTTTTATACCCATTCTTGGGTAGTGAAATGCATGGGGCTCGCATAAAAGTCAACTTTTGCATGCTTTTCTGTAGCAGTTACGTTTTGTGACTTGATTCCATACATGTACTACAATATTGAAAACCAAACTCTACTTGTTTGAAAAATACACTAAAATATTGGTGTCACGGGAACTTTTGTTGTTGAGTATATTAAAGGAAGTTCATCATAATGAATGGTAGCTTACTTGCCCTTAAAATGCAATTAAGAGAAAAAAACCATTTCCTTTAATCAACCTTTAGGGTTCAAATACCGCCAGCATTCTTAGATATTGACACTGAGTTTGAGTCAGATAACCGCTCCATCTGTGGAGATTGGAATTATATCCAAAACCCAGACATTGATTTTTATAACTATAAAAACGTAAACAACTCAAACGCCAGAGAAAAAATATTAGATTTCAAAGATGAACAATCCTTTATTGACCCTTGAATGAGTGAGTTGGGTTTAACGCCGCTTTTAACAGTATTCCAGTTATATCGCGGCGTGTCAGCTTAATGTGGGAGGAAAGCCCAACTTTTTCTGATGCAGGTCTCCGACGTTTACCACTTCGGTGAAACCCACGAGCACGGGTATGGTGCTGACAAACCTATAGAAACATAATCGGGGCGAACCAGGATCCGAACCCACAATCATAGGTTTCCGGTGTGCCCAAGGGACGCAACTCTGCACAGCGAATCGCGGCGCCTTAGGCGACTGGGCCACCCGTGCCCCCGGAGAATATATATGAAGTATAACGTATGAAATTTCAACCCTTCATAGAAACTTCACTGAAGTTTTGGTTTGGTTTGTTTGTTGTTTAACGCCGCACTCAGCAATATCCCAGTATTTGATGGCGGTCTGTAAATAATCGAGTCGGGACCAGTCAATCCAGTGATTGACATCATGAGCATCGACCCACGCAATTGGGATACGATGACACGCATCAACCGATCCCGTTAGTCGCCTCCAACGACAAAGCCAAGTCGCCATTTACGGCAAGCATGGGTTGCCGAAGACGTATTCCAGCCCGGATCTTCACGGGTCGCATTTTGGAGCAAACAAGACCAAGTTGGAGATGGTGTGGGGTTGTTAGAATAGCTCATTAACAGAGTTTTAGGTATGTAGTGTTGGACAATTTGAAGCAGTATTAAGCATATGACAGTTTAGCATACACCAGAACCATTTCTGAGCATGCCCGACCTCATTAACGGGAAGGTATATACAATCAAGTTGTTACTTCTGGTGCAAATATCATTAAGGTAAACATCATCGTTAAGTTTTGATCACGTGGCTACAATCCGGGTAAGAATCGACAGTCAGGTGATTAGTTCGAGCACAGGAGTCCGTATCTAAAAATAGACGCCCTCATGCATATTCATGACCATCTCCACACCCGTAATGAATATGCATGAGGGCGTCTATTTTTAGACTATTTACGGACTCCTGTGGTTCGAGTGAAGTATGTGATTCCGTAATTCAGATGAAAACCCACTCAAAACAAAATTGCAAATTGAGCCTCGTCCCCATATATATACAAAATGATTGATGACAAATAAACTCAAAAGTAATTTCAAAATATGTGCATGCCGTCATTTCCTGGTCATTATAGACTAGGCTAACGCTTGGTCCCTGAAAATACATTATTTTGATGCAAACTGGAGCCCCAGTGAAATGGGAGATTCTAGAGTAATCACCTTTGGAAAATCTACACTTGCTTCATAAGGACTTTAGCATCAGAGTAAGATATGGGCAGAAGGGATAATGTCATGGTTCATGGATTGTGAGACAAGCTACCAAGCCATGAGCTCTTCACGTGTGTGAAAAGATACTGTCCATTAACTAGTACACGAATCTCCCGATACATCATGTGTGAAGATATCCCGGTCTGATTGGTTGTTCGCGTAGCACGCCACCTAGCGGTGAAGATATGCGGTTTCAGTGTAGCAGATGACGTGAAAGGTTGAGCAGACCAAGAAGAGAAAATCTTACTTTAGATCACATTTCAACAATATGTCGTCCATCGGCCTTCGGCGATCTTTCCTGTCACTGCGGGTGAGCATATATTATAAACATCAACGATGTCATTGAACTTAATTACTTATCCAGAGACAAGGGCACATTTTGAACACGTGCAAACTGCAGTCAAGAGGCATTGTTGTTTACATTGTACGCACGACCATCAGAGAGTGGTTTGAGCAAGGGAAGATTGTTTTTGTCATTCGGTACATAATTCAAACATCATCATCCGTGAGCCGAATTGTATACATCAGTTTAATGTACACATCATCAACGTTAAAATAATCCTAATAATGAATAAAATCATCCTAATAATGAATAAAATCGACCAGTATGGGTTGGGGGAGAGGTAGTCAATAATTCCGAATTATTGTTAGACAAAGCAATATTGTAACGTTGTTATATATTATATATATGTGTTAACAGATGGCTTGCCATAATACTACACAGTGACTATTATTCTTAGATGGTGCTTTTTTCCCCTCAAATGTTAATATGTTACTTGTTACCATATGTCTATAACAGTGATTAAACCTGAGATTTTTTCAGTTGTACTTACAAATGTAACTTGGAATTGTGTCTCATAATTACAAATAAAGACACATGTGAAGACCCAGATTTGAATTGGTCTTCCACAACCAATAGTTATCGTAATAGGCGACTAACAAATCAGGTGGTCAGGCTCGCTGACTTAATTGAGCCATATCATCGTATACCAACTGCGAATTAACATTGATGCTCATGATGTTAATCACTTGATTTTCTTGTTCAGACACGATTATTTACAGACAGGTATCACATAGCTGGAATATTGCTGAGTGCAATGTTAAACAACAAGCAAAAACCACAAATAAAGAATGTATAATGATGGTAATACAACATTACGGCTGAAAATATTGTTATTTATGGATATTTGTGTTTAAAGTTGAGAATAAACTTATTTAATCTAATTCAGCAGGGGTACTTGAAAATTACTGTTACAATTTGTTTTTAGTGTTACAATATCGAAGTGGTAAATTCAGTATCTCTTGGGGTAACCTAGTGGTTACAGCACCACAATGAAGTCCCGGGTTGGATTCGGCACACTGAACTCCATTTCTGTGTCCTGTGTACGTAATATTACTGGACTATTTCTTAAAACATTTTGAAGCAATATTCACTCACTCTGCTGTTACTGTTCCAGTCTACTTGTCTGGAATTGAAGGCTGATTGTCCAGTTGTTTTGTGGTACAATGTGTTTCAACTGTATTGCAATTTGTACCCATTTCTATAGTCCGTCTCCCAGCCCCTAGAGAAACAAAATTAAAAAGGAGTCCTTCTCAAGTCTAGAATGATTTGGCATGTCTAGATTGCCTCAGCTCTTGGCCTGAAATTAAGGATTATTCTGGGCTCCATTTTGATTTGATTTTTTTTATTTTGTAGATATATATTTTTAAATAAGATAACTTTATTTAGGGGGCTAAATGTCAGTCTACCATTTCTGTAATACGCAGTGGTTTAGACTGGAGATTTCTCTTGCTTTACATATTGCAAAACAAAATTGGTAAACAATTTAATCATTTGCACATCTTGAGTGAAGTGAGTTTGAATGTTGTTTAATACATGCTCAAACAGTTTGTTAACAGCGTAATACTTCACTAGAACTTATGACAGGCACTGGGAGCAAGTAGCACACCAATTTTGTAAGCTAACATGAGGTTGGCACCCCTAATGAAAACAAAGCAAGTTGTGCAAAGGCTTCTTTCCACGATCAGTGATGGCTTTTGAAACTGCCAGTACTGGTGGACTGGCAACTCAAAAAAGTGACCAGTCCCCTCTAATTTTTGTCAGTCCCAACTTTCAACAAATAAAAAAACGTAAAAATTACCTGGTTTTAATTCCCTCAACATCATATTCAATGCAATGAAGTCATCTCTGAAGTAACTTAGTTAGATTTACTTGTCATTCACACAAAGTTCTGTCACAATTCTCTCTTCTTTTTCAATATTTCGAGACTAAGTCACTACAAATATATACTTAAATGTTATTTCCTTGCACTAGAAATAGACAAGGGGAACCCTAGGCAAACTGACTTCGTTTGAAAAATATACTTATATCAATATCGCCAATGTTTTGTTCCACAAAGATTTGTAATGTACTTTATTTGCCGGTCCACAGGGACTGGCAGTCACATGAATTACCGGTCCAAGCCCAATTTTACCGGTAGAAAACTGGTAATTACCAGTAAACGGGAACACTGACTATTATGACGTCACATTGTTCACATTGTGACATGACATGGCGTCACACATGTATTCAGAGAAGCGCCAAATAGCAAGCTCTCTGTCTTCAAAGGTTGAAATACATTCAGTCTGTAGATTTCTATCATGTTTTCTGTAAGATGTGTATTGCCACACATCCTTTGAATATTGTAGGAACAGAAACTTTGCATTTTGTAGCCTATGATTTTACATATAATTATTTAAATATGCCTAACAACATTGACTGTTAAAGAAGTAATATTCTAAAAATATTACCTTCCACGGTTTTGTGGCCGTCTAATCCGCTGTTACAATCAGAGGGGGCTTATTGTGATTTGAAACCTCTGATTGACCAATCAAAATCAAGTATTTACCAAATGGTAGAATTCCTATTATATATGCTAGCAGAAGCTTGTGAAGATCTGGGTTGGAATTGGTCTTCAGCAACCTATGTTTGCCGTAAAAGGTGACTGTGCTTGTCGTAAGAGGCTACTAACTGGATCAGGTTGTCTGGCTCGCTGACTTGGTTGATGCATTTCATTGTATCCCAATTGCGTGGATCGATGCTCATGTTGTCAGTCAGTGGATTGTCTTGTCCAGACTCGATTTTTGACAGACCGTATCATATAGCTGGAATATTGCTGAGTGTGGCGTTAAACAAAAAACAAAAAATGCAAGAATTTCAATATTAGATATCCAGAATATAAAATAATTATGAAAACGCCTTCTTTATCAGCAGTGAGATAAGATTTAGTTTAACACATCCATTACTGTTGAGCTGGAGTGGGATATATGCCGATTTTTACCAGGGACTATTCCTCCAGTCTTCTCAGATTTAGGGACAATTCACAGTGCCCTACCGGCATAGCTTTCGGACAAGCCTGTCATTGGCTACTTTGTATACAATATTAATGGTACTTAGTGATATGGTTTGTCCATAAACAAAGTTAGTTGGCACAAGTGGCAGTGTCAAATCTTTACTTTCTGGGCTTGCTTTAGGACAAGCGTGTTGCTGGCTACTTTGTATACAATCTAAAGTGTATTTAGTGATATGGTCTGTTCGTAAACAAGGTCAAGTCTGGTGACGAGCATGATAGTCCAAAGGTCGGATACATTTATCCCAGTTAGTGTCATGCTGATGATTGAGCTATGTTCCCTCTTGAAAATTTCCATCACTTGTTGCCCTCACTGACAAATGTGCTGGCCTGCTGGGCAGATGCCAGTAAACATGATGAATCAAGTCCATGTAGAATCAAGATAAAAACTGACCAGTGGTAAAATTAGAAGTCAGTTAATAGTAGGACCGACATTGATGGAATATTTTCAGTATGAATGCATAGACAGATTGATCTAGAAGTTGATTGGCGTTTAATATAGTGGGTAATCATAACATTTTATGACGGAACTGTGCCAACACAAAAATTACTTTTCCCAATTCGAAGTAAATGTGTCAACTTAGAATTTGATGGTCCTGAAGAATTTATTTTATATTGTGTGGAACACAGCTTTCACTCACTCACACACTTACTTTATTTAATGGTTTAACTACATCATTGTACATTGTCCAACTATTTGTGAGGTTGCAACATCATGTGATTAATGAGGTGTATCTGTTACAGTCAATGTGTAACATGTGGTTCACTTAGGCAATTTACAAAATACCTAAATATTTCAATCATTTTACAAGTTCAAAACAGCTTTAAAAAAATCACAATAGACTAATTATGCTAGGAATAAAAGCCACAAAAATAATACAATATACATTGACTTTTGTTGTCTTATCAATCCTATCATTTTTAGTCACTGAGAGACTACATCCAACTATTTGAAAAATGATTGAATTTGTAAATTGCCTTTGTGAACATTTTAGTCATTTTAAACATCAATACTCATGTTAATAACTGATGATGAAATTGACATCAACTGTGCACAAACTAGACTGACATTTAGACCCAGAAATCTTATGTAAAAATATATATCTACAAAATAAAAATCAGAAAAATCCAAAAGGAGCCCAGAACAATTCTAAATTCCCTGAACTGGGGCAATCTAGACTTGCCCATTTTTCCAAGACTTGACTCCTTGTTATCCCCCGCCGCGCGAAAGCGCGAAGCGGGGGATATAGTATTCACGACCGTCCGTCTGTCCGTCCGTCCGTACGTCCGTCCGTACGTCCCACCTGTTTGTTGCCGCGATATCTCAAGAACTAAACACTGGATTGTCTTCATATTTGGAACTATGGTGTATATACAGACTCCGCAGACACCAGTCGGTTTTGGTGACCTTGATCCCATTTTCAAGGTCACAGCAGACAAATCTGCTTTTAGAGTTGGAAAACGGTGTTGCCGCGATATCTCAAGAACTAAACCCTGGATTGTCTTCATATTTGGAACTATGGTGTATATACAGACTCCGCAGACACCAGTCGGTTTTGGTGACCTTGATCCCATTTTCAAGGTCACAGCAGACAAATCTGCTTTTAGAGTTGGAAAACGGTGTTGCCGCGATATCTCAAGAACTAAACACTGGATTGTCTTCATATTTGGAACTATGGTGTATATACAGACACCGCAGACACCAGTCGGTTTTGGTGACCTTGACCCCATTTTCAAGGTCACAGCAGGCAAATCTGCTTTTGGAGTTAGAAAACGGTGTTGCCGCGATATCTCAAGAACTAATCGCTGGATTGTCTTCATATTTGGAACTATAGTGTATATACAGACACCGCATACACCTGTCAGATTTGGTGACCTTGACCCCATTTTCGAGGTCACAGCAGGCAAATCTGTTTTTGGAGTTGGAAAACGGTGTTGCCACAATATCTCAAGAACTAATCGCTGGATTGTCTTCATATTTGGTACTATGGTGTATATGGCGGGGGATATTTCGTCACTCTGTGACAAATACTTGTTTACTTTGTTATCTGGGAGACAGATGATGCACGAACCTGTACACATGGTTAATTGCAGTCTTTGACTTCAGCCACTTATCTGAAGCCCAAGTCTTGTAACATTTTGTTAGGTCTAGTGGTTGGTTGGTTTGTTGTTTAACGCCGCACTCAGCAATATTCAAGCTATATTACGGTGGTCTGTAAATAATTGAGCCTGGACCAGACAATCCAGTGATTAATATCATGAACATCGATTCACGCAACTGGGATTGATGATATGCATCAACCAAGTCAGTGAGCCTGACCACCCGATCCCGTTAGTCATTTCTTACGACAAGCATGGTCACCTTTTACGGCAAGCATGGGTTACTGAAGAGCTATTCTACCCCGGAATTTTCAGGGGTCTTGTAATAGTCTAAAAATAACATTAAAATCTACAGAAAATAATGCTTTTGGTCCAGTTCTGGCTGTAGATTGAAACGGTTTTTGGCCCAGATTGTATGTAAAGTGGTCTACTATTTGTTATCTAATTTGGGTCAGGAACTAACATTGACCTTGTCAGCCAGATGAATTCTTACTTGACAAAGTGTTGACAGGCAGATAAATATGATAACATACCAAGGTAGATAAAGTCATATAATTCACCATTGTGCTGAAGCGGAATGTGTGCCACTTAGTATAATCCATTGTTATTATAAACATGTATCTCTGATAAGATAATAGATGACAGTTGCTATATGCATCCACAGCTGAGTCGTACAAAGGTAAATAAATAATGGATTCATGACTTCAGGGTTTTCAAGAATAAAAGATGGCAAATTTTGTCTTGATTAATAGATAAATATGATACTTCCTAGAAAGGACCCCACACTACCCATGAATGGATCTGTAAAATATTAATAAATTAAGTGGTTTTTTTTCGGTTACCTTCATACATTGTTTCAGTTGCAGGACTAGGGAGGTTTTATGTAGCATACGGAAATAAGCTTAATATAAGTTCCAGTGAGCTAATAACCAGTATGTTGTTGTCTTGTTAAACAAACAGGGTTCAGTATTTTGGGGGCAGAGGTTTATCTAGGATTCCAAATTTGGCAGGCAGTTGGGAGAAAAAATGTTATTTTGTTCAACATGTTCAAAATTGGTGTTTTTTAAACAACTTATTTTGTGAAGTGATTTTTCTCTAACATTAATGTAAGGGTTTCAATATTGAGAGCCATCAGTTTGTGTATTGCATTCCTAATAGTGAAACCGAGTCACTTCGTTTTTTCCTTATTTTATTGTTTGAAGTTGGTTGGTTATGTGAATGTTTGAGACAATTATCAGGTGGCAGATTAGATTATCACATCCCTACTCTGGTAATATTTAATTGCAGCTGACCAAAAACTGACTTCAGTTACTAATGGGTTCTGGATATTTCTGACACACCAAGTCAGACGCTTTGGAAGTAGTGGAGAAATTATGAGAATCTATTGATTCTACTTTTGGGATCAACAGATTCGAGTGATTTCTCCAACTTCAACCATGTTATGGTTGATGTATGATTTCTCTGATTTTACATGATGACGTAAAGTTTTACATGTTAAAATGCATGTTCAGAATAGCCAGTGAATTCCTGCTCAGAATCTACTGCACCAAGAAGGGTGTGATGTTATCATAATGTTTAAGCGGGAGTTAATCCATTTTATACCTGCTGGTACAGCTAAACACTCTACTCACAGAAAGTCAACTGTGATCTCAGTCAAACTTACAGTGTTGTACTTGTCAGTGTTTCTGTTTGACCCCATTAAGTTCTAATAGGACAGGTAACTCTGAAGGTATTGAATCTTCAGTATCACAGTTAATCATTAGTATTGACAAAGCCCTTAGAGTTAGACCATGTTCATGGCGATTTAGTGAATACCAGATTCTAAACTATCCTTTCATGCTTATTGATATTTTTAAGTGGCATTTTAGAAGCTGTACTACAGTAGTATCAATGAGGACAGAGTTGACATACAGATTTGTTTGTCTTTCAATGCGACATTTAGAACAAGTCCACTTGTCCTTCCTTCATTAACGTCTGTTTGTTTGTTGTTTAAAACTACACTCAGCACTATTCCAGCTTTATGATGGCGGTCTGTAAATAATTGAATCTGGACCAGACAATCCATTGATTGAAATCAGGAGCATCGATTTTCACAATTGGGATATGATGACAGGCTTCAACCAAGTCACTGAGTCTGACCTACCGATCCTATTAGTCACATCTTACAACAAGCACAGTCACCTCTTACAAGAAGCATGGTTGCTGAAGACTAATTCTAACCTGAATCTTCAGGGGTCTTGATAAACGTACTAGCACCTGTGCAGAAGTGTCAACTAGCTACTGACACCTGTATTTTAGTCTGATGCAAAATTGATTATTAACAGGTCACTGTCATGTAGCTGGAATATTGCTTTGAGGCATGGTTATTGTGATGATCAGTAATGGTCCTGATACAGATTTTCAACACTAGTCAGTAGTTTCTTGTATATATTCTTTATTTGCTACTTTGTTGCAGATGTCCCCTTTCATCCAATGTGTTCGCCTCACATCAAGTGCTCCTGTGACAGACTCTGTCAAGTTTGCATCCAACCTTGAACTTCGCAGCATCCGTGGTAATGAAACACTCTCAAGGTCAAGGCCACTAGTAGTCCTTGTTGGTTGGATGAATGCAAAGAAGCGTCATCTTGATAAATACGGAAATCTATATATAAGTAAAGGATTTGACGTATTGAGTGTTCAGGTTCCTCCAAGCAAGGTGATCCAGCCCAAGAAGGCTCAGGTCGTCATGCAGGAGGTGATCAATATTCTGGACGACAGCAGCAGACGTGATAAGCCACTCATGATCCACGGTTTCTCTGTGGGGGGATATCTCTATGGCGAGATGCTGGTCACATTGAGGGACCAGGCGTCTAGGTACACAAGTATTCGAGATAGACTTCTGGGTCAGATTTTTGACAGCCCTGTTGACTTTGCAGGTGTTCCGCGAGGTTTTGCTAATGTCCTTGGCTTTAACTCTTTTTCTCGAGCACTCATTAAGTCATCAATTGAGGGATACCTGAAATTATTCAAAGAAACAAGTACCAAACATTATATCAAGTCTTCTGAAGCATTCCATGATAACGAGATGCTTCTCCCATCTTTGCTGCTGTACTCGCGAGCTGATCCAATTGGCGTGGCAAAGGATATCGAAGTGGTAGCAAGGAAGTGGGCCAGTAAGGGAATCCCAGTCCACCTAAAATGCTGGGAGAACTCACCTCATGTAAGCCATTTCCACCGACACCCTGACGAGTATGTCGAAGCGATCCTGGCATTCTTAGAAGAAATCGGAATCTCGGCTCCGGAGAGCCAGGAACATGTAGTTCAGGCGAAGAAAGAAAGGATACCCTGAATGTATTGCCATATTTTGTTTATTTATTTATGTAACTTTCCAGACAATCAACATATTTCATAGCATCATGGCAAGAGTGGTCTCCCTTTCATACACGTTTTCCACTCGGAGGCCATATATTGTTTCCTATTGTGTGTGAATTAGACATGTTAAAGTGTAATTAGTTATATTTGTTTGAGAAACATTGTGAAGATGATACAGCATACAGGGATGTATAAGGGGGCTTTATCAAGGGACGTTTGGAAATAAACTTTGGGAAAGATTTGCCATAATTCTAGTAAAATATGACTAAAAAACATCATAAAGGCCACAGTAAATAATTAGATTTTGGTTCTATTTTTTAGAAATGTGAAGAACGAAGCCTTGTATTTCATATATTGAGGATTGCTAATTAATCTGTCCATTGCTGCTAATTAATCTCTTCATTATGCAGATTAACAATCTGTGCAAAGAACTTTTGAGTCTACTTGCCCAAGCTTAATTTCAATAGAGGTCAGTGGTAGTACAGTGTATATGGAATATTATTAGCTAAGCTTAGACCAAAGAGCATTTTACTTGACTCAGGCTTCGGACAAGTGTCACAGACTAGTTTAATTGATAAAACATGATGACTGTTTGTTGGGAGGACATATGTAGTTTATGTCATCAAAGGAATATATATACTATATATAGCAATCGTCGAAAGGTTTGTCGGGACAATAGAATGATGTGTGGTTGGAATGAAATCTTATAATCAGTTTATAATAACCTTGCAAAGTTGTTTGAAGATTACAATGATTGACTTTAGTAATTAAAACTGAGGTCTCTTACTATATTTATCAAAACGGGACAGGAACCCACTTGTCAAAATAATCTGCGAAGCAAAAGCAGAGGTACAGGTTGCCGACGTGTTAAAATCAAATCTTTACTCTGATGGCAATCAATGATATGGGTTTTTGTCTGGTAAAAGAATCTGTTTTTAATATTGTTAGTGCTTTGAACAACAATTGGTATCAGTTTTCTGTCATCAAAAGTTATCTGTTCTTGTCTTAATGCCATGGTTACTGATGAAGTAATTTTTCTGGATTTTGAGGACAAGATTACAGATTGATGACAAAATAATTTGTAAAACAGGACTTTGAAGAGACAGTTTTATTTTTTCATTGTGTTTATTGTCATCGAGGGGGCCCAGTCATCTGAGGCACAGCAATTCTCTGAGCAGAGTTGCATACCTTAGCACGCCAGAAACCAATGATTGTCAAATTCAGTTTTATAGGTTTGTCTGGACTACACCTGTGCTCATGGGTTACACGAAAATTGTAAACATCGGCATCAAGTAGGTTTTCCTCCCACATTTAGCTGACAAGCCATGATATTTATAACTGGAATTAAACCCAATGCACTCACTCATTCACTCACTGATTGTTGTAAAAAGCACTTATTTATCATGTTAATGAACACCCAGGGTTCAAAGTAAGGGTACATTGTTGAATATTGCAGAGGCACTCCTCAATGCTTGTGTTAAAATTAGATCAAAACGTTGGCTTTAAAGTTTTATAATGTTTTCTGTCATGCCAATTATATTTTTAAAGGTATTCATGAATTTTGAATATCTGTTGCGAGCACTGTTAGACGACATTACTATTGCACAGAGGATATTGTGTTGTTAGTCCTGTCATCATGGTAAGACGTCAATGGTTTGTATACACTGTGTTCCTCCATAACCAATATGCTGCTGTGTAGTCATGGCAGTTGCTACTTTTAACCATTATGGTTTCAGTTAGAAGTGCTCAGACCAATGAGCGCTCAGATTACATCCGTGATATTTTTTAAATTATTTTTGACACCTCTAGTTGGCTCTGTTCTACTCACTGCTTTAATATCAGGTGTATAACAGGTTTGTAAACAAATTTAGATATTATTGGGTATTATCCAAACTAGTCATGATTTGATTGTACATTTATACATTACCAGCATTTCTTGTCCATAATTCTTGTCCCCATACTCGTAATGGAGTCGTTCATGTTTGTTTATGGAAACTCAGGAATTTGTTTTACATTCGGTCTCAAATTTGAGAGATGCTTTCATGGTTTTCAAAACTTTTTGAAAGTTGAAATATGAGAATTACCTGTTTATGTAAATTTTTAGCACAATTTTTAATTGCTACATGCCTCCATAATTTTTATTTAGTGTACCCTACTTTTGTATTTTGCATTAGCTTGCCTTGAGAGACGAAGTAGTACAGTAGATGTGGTGGAGGGCTTTAACAGATGATTGTCTACAGGCAAATGGTATTGTTGTGTTAGTATTATGTTTTTATCACCTTGGTGACTATACTATTTGATTTCATTTTCTTTCATATCAATATCACTTTAGCTCCCATGTTCTGCATTACTAAGATAAAAGTTTAGAAATATTGCATATCTCTTGGAATTATCATTTTTAGATCACCTGACCTGAAATTCAGTGAGCTTATGGCATGGCCTGTTTGTCTGATGTCCATTGTGCGATGTGCGTCATCGTGGTAAACGTCTCCTCAGAAAACACTGGTTCATTGAAGCTGAAACTTAACATATGACGTCCCTATTTGTTTTAGAACTTCGAATCCAATTTAAATATTTCCACCACAGAAGCCATGTTGAAGATCCTGTTAACTGCTATGAATCGGACAATTATAAAAAATATAAATAAAACAATAATGTTATGACAAATTGTACACATGTTGTTAGTAGTTTGGCTCAACATATATTGTCCATATTTTTGCAATATTTTTACCTTGTCGCACCATTCTCTTAAATTCTCTAAAATGTATTTTTGGCTGTGTAAACTTTTTCTCTTATGAAGCCAGATTGAGGGAGCTGTACTTGGGCATGTATACAATGTGATCATATATTTTTTTTATTTCCTTAGATTTTGGTGTTACTTATTTGTATTTAAGCAGACTGTCAAAGCTGACAGCTGCATTTTTTAAGATTCCATCTTTGTTGACGTTTTTAACTGTTGACTCCATATCCAGGTGAGCTACAGTATCACTATTTTCCTTTCTAATTGTTGTGTCAAACAGCTCCTTGACCCCTTTTATCAACCACAGTGAATTCAATATAAAATTTGCTATTGTTCGTTTTAAAATATTGTTTTCATGGTTTCCTCTGAAACTAATTACGGTGTCCATTATGTATACTCTTGGGCTGTTGGGTGTTGTTACAAGCCTGTTATATTGTGTTTGCTTATTAAATGTGTTGACAGTTTGTGTTATGACCTTTTACAGTGAGGGGCAATGACAGAATCTGGAATACACAGGAAGATTTCAGATATATCAGGAAGCAATAGGAAATAAATGAATTGATGTGAATTAAAAGTTTCCAAAAGACTTCTTGAAATAATATAGTTTTAGATATATAAACAAACCAACATACATTTAAAGACATAATTAAAGTTGCCATAAACACAGTACTTGAAAACTGCAACTTTTGTGATATTACATGTATTTAGATAAATATACGTAATCTCAAGCTTTGGCCTCCCGGCTTTCATCAGGTACACTCTGTGGTTCATCATGACATCTGTGTAAGATCATAGCACTAAACCAATGGATATATCTATTAAAGGCTGGAGGCCGGAAGGAATATTATTTCGGTTTCATTTTTTGGGTAAACAAAACGATTCATTGATCAGACCTAATAGTGCATGGGTAAAGACATGTGTACCGGAACTGTCAGTCACATGCTATGGTAAGGACTGTAATTCAATATTTAACAGTGTGTTTCAGTTCTTAGAACAATATTTTAGGGGGTTTGGGCAAGTTTTTGTGAGAAGTCTTTTTATCTGTACTGAGATATGAAAATGATCAAATGAATATTTCATGTGATGTCTCATTTTGAAGTTGCTGATTAATTCTAATCAGATCGACTTGAGCCTTGTCTGATAAAGAAAGTTTGTACATGTTTATGGAAATGTGTGTCATCACATCTTATTGTCACTGAGGAATAAAGCATGATTTTAAAAAAAGATGTTCATTATTTTTCTGAAATCTGTTTTTTAATCATTATTCCATGTTGTTTATTTCATAACAGGGGACTTTTAGATATTTAATGAAACTGGAATTTGTAAATGACAAAAAATGCACATCAAGATGGAATTCATTTTTAGCTCACCTGAATTTTCAAGTTGGCATGTTCATAAGTAAATTGTCAATTCTCTGTTCTGTATGCCCCTTCCTCTGCCAGCTCTTATGTATTCATTTATATTTTCAACACCTGAAATTATAATGTATACATAGTTGAAACTCGCAACTCGAAACTCGTAAGTTATGGTGTCTCCTAATATTCTTGAAGAATCCAGATCCAGTAGCGGCCACTGTAGCCATGTTCAAAATATTACTTGTGCCCATTACTCAAACACTTCTCCATGTAGCAGAATGAAAGTGTATTTCCATTGAGATTCTGGTATGCAGAATAACAATACAATTTTGGTGTGTTTTGATTTTTGATGCTCTTGTCGACCACACAGTTTTGTTTCATTTTCAGCATCTCCTTTGAAAACTCTGGATTTATGAAGCTGGGATTTGTAATGTTCCCATTAATGATATCCCTTAAATAGGCCCGCACAAGTTCTAAACATGGATACCATGGCAGCCAATTGTAAATGTCATTTTTTTAGTTTATGAAATTGTTATATGCAAAAATTGTGGTAAACTATGTCTAGTAACACCTTATATTTTGTGTATTATGAGATTTGGCACAAATCCACCTTTGAGTCTCAACTCTTTATCAACCTGTGATGTTATGTACATGCAGTAAGAATATGTATGAAACTCCTGTTACTTTTTTTAAATCTTCTGATTCACCCTTGAATGACCTTTCTGATCTATCTGACCATCTTCTGGTCTAGTGGTCTAGCTGCATCATACCAAAAGACGTTAAAAGATAGTACTTGTTCTTACAATTAAGGGTATTAAACAAGGGCTGGTAGGCTCAGAGCCAGTATACTGTCAGAGTAGGGTATCCTTGTTAAAACTGCAGCATGGTATCTCAGACAAGCACTATGAATCCAGCATAGGTCCGACTAGCAAACACAGACACAGACGTTATGTAAGTGCAATAATCTTGAAAGCTACCTTTAAACCCATTTCACCTCTTGAAGTAAACTTTTGGACAGAAAACAAACCAGGTGAGCTACAGTCATGTGTCCGTTTGGTCAATGGGATTATGGTTTACAGAGTTATGCCCCTTGACTGGCATCTGCACTTGTACACTGTCTTTCATCGGGATAACAGCAACACTTTCAAGTCACTCTTGAAATACAGTGCTTAATGAAAATGTTAAAATTGGTTGCAAAAATCTGTTTGAATGGGTTGAATATAAGGTGCACCAGTATGCAACGCCAAGCCTATCCCGTTTGCCAACCTAGAACCAAACCTGTCAAACGCTCCAAGACAATACCAACCTATTGTCTATTGGCAAATTACTTCACTTTCCACTGCTTTTAATATTTTACTCCTCCAATACGTTAACAGTTTAGATTCATTTATCATCGAAAACTTCTCACGGAACGTGTTCAAGAAGCCGTATTTAAGAGCACGAGCAAATGTTATCCTGTAGAGGACTTGTGAAATATTGTAAGGGCAAGTTGTCAGTTAGGACAAAGGAGTGGGGTGGTCCAGTCATCTAAGGCGCCATAATTCGCTGAGCAAAGGTTTATTTCTTTGGCATCCCAGAAACATACGATTGTGGGTTTGAATCGACCTGATTATGTGTCTCCAGGTTTATCAGCACCTTACCCAGATCGTGGGTTTCACCAAAGTGGTAGACGTCTGAGACCTGCATCACTTCCGGCTTTTCTCTCACATTAACCAGGCACGCCGTGATATGACTGGAATACTGTTAAAAGCGGCGTTAAACCCAACTTACTCACTCACTTACTCATTATTTACAACTTACCAACTTTACTCGTGAAGAGTGTTAAGTATGTGTTAAAAAGCATTGGAAAATAACATCGTCGGATCACGTGCATGCGGACATTATTCATCGTATTCAAAAACACAAATAATTGTCCTCCCCTGATATAACATCTAACGGCTTGTATTGTGTAAAAATATAAAAATGTTATAGATTTGAATACACCACACACCCAACCACCCACCAAAACCCCACTCCACCCCACCCAGAGTAATATCAGCCCAGGCCCTTATTGAAGTTGTATATTTCACTAATTGTGTATTGTGTTGGCTTAACTTAGATATATCCTATGATTGTGTTTGTTTGTTTGTTTGTTGTTTAACGCCGCACTCAGCAATATTTCATGCAGCTATATGACGGCGGTCTGGAAATAATCGAGTCTGGACCATCAATCAAGTGATTGATATCATGAGCATCGATCCACGCAATTGGGATCGATGACATTCATCAACCAAGTCAGCGAGCCTGACCACCCGATCCCGTTAGTCGCCTTTTACGACAAGCATAGTCGCCTTTTACGGCAAGCATGGGTTGCTGTAGACCTATTCTACCCCGGATCTTCACGGGTCATATATCCTATGAAAAACTTAATAAACTGATCCAGAGAACATGGCTCCTGCTCCTATTATTACATATAGAATGGAATGGATGCTGCTGCTCCTGATGATGATGTTGGAGATTTAACGAACGCTTCCAGATGAGCCGATTTCGCACTAGGATGGAATGGAAATATAATACACTGGATAATCAAGAAAGATATATCGATAGATATTTGTTTATTTGTTTGTAATGTAGTGACGTCACACGGTTTCACAAAAACTTGGCCATACCCCATACCCATAGCTACCTTTTATACAGAATTAAATTGATAAATTAGGATTTGCTCTATGTTCAGAACCCTTTTCATGCTCAACAATCTGGCTATCCTCAAATGTCGAACAAATACTTAGATATCAATTTCTACAAAAATAGAGGGCAGTCGTATGTTTTAGTCCTCAAGCACTATATTACAAATACCTTCGAACCAAACCTAACTTTGAAAATTTCTTCATCTTTCCAAAAGTATTTATTACCCTATCCTAAAATTAAGAACGTCTAACCATAATCTTACAATAGAAATATTGTAATTTGAGCCCATGTACCACCGATGGTAGTTGTTCCTAAGAATAAACAGAATCCAGAATCCAACCCAGCTAGTCGCAGGAGGTGCCCGGTGCCCGGTGGAGTTTCCGGATTAGAACTGGTCCGACAGCTGGCAACCCATGCTCGTTAGAGTCGACTAATGGATCAGGTGTCAGGCTCGCTGACGGCGTGCATACGTACTCATATCAGTCACTTGATTGTGTGTTCCAGAATCGATTATTTACAGACCACTGTCATATAGATGGAATTACAAGTGCGGCGTTATACAACATACACATGCCCTATATATTATTTATCGTTTTGCCGGTCGCGTGGGAGAGAAATTATGTGCTATGTTAGTGATAAGTGAGTGAGTGAGTTTGGTTTTACGCCGCTTTTAACAATATTCCAGCAATATCACGGCCGTGGACACCAGAAATGGGCTTCACACATTGTACCCATGTCGTGAATCGAACCCAGGTCTTCGGCGTGACGAGCGAACGCTTCACCACTAGGCTACCCGACCGCCCCGTTAGTGATAAGAGAAATGGAGCTGGTGATCTCGTCTGCGAATTGATACGATGCTGTATATATTTGTTGCTTGTTTGTTTTTTAACGCCGCACTCAGCAGTATGCTAGCTTTATGACGGCGGTCTGTAATTAATCGAGTCTGGACCAGACAAGCCAGTGATTGACATCATGTGCATCGATCCACGCGATTGGGATACGATGTGAGATTCAATGAAGTCAGTGAGCCTGACCACCCGATCCCATTATTCGCCTCTTACGACAAGCAAGGGTTGCTGAAGATCAATTCTAACCCGGAATCTTCTCGGGACGATGCTGTATATAAGATTGATATTACATTCACCATGGAAATATAATACATTGGGAAATCGAGAACAGGTTGTTTTGCAAATTGACTCTATATGCAGAGACGTCTTTGTTAAACTGTTTTTTTAATGACAAGGATCAGTGATACCTGGAAGAATATGCTGGGATAGGCTGTATAATTCCACCGGTTCGCGATGACTGGCAAAATCAGCCTGGGATGACCACTGAAAATCGTTTGTAAAGTCAATGTCGTCGCTTTGCAATGTCTTTCACATTGATTCATATCCTGTAGTTCAAACTAAACTTCTGCAATATAAGCCGTTACGCAATGTGTCTGATAGATCCGGGTTTCTGTGAATTATCCCAACAAACAATCTTCCCGGGTATATAAGGCGTAATTCCCCGCCTTCAGCACTCTTAGTGTAGAGCTAAAGGTACACTGGTTTCAAGTTTTACCATGGCTCCTCTGCTGGTTATTGTTGTTCTTCAAATTGTATTTCACGGTAAGTCCATTCTTCCGATTCCATTATGTTTTAGAAATGTAATATATTCCACATTTTTCGTGAGTTTTGAATGTTTCTATAATTTTTAAAAACTTTCTTTTCTAGTTATTCCTGTATTCTGTTCTCATTATTAATGTATAACTCTCGGTTCCAGCTCGGTTTTTGTCAGATATTTGTTTGAATGCTTTGTATAACATCTAGAACATTTTAATCACAAAACATAAATCATTCTCCTTCACTTAAACATGTAAACATGCTATAATGTACAACCAAACCATTCGCTTATGACGAATGAACACGCACAATCAGTTCGTTTCATGATGCTCGTTGTCCACATTCCTTAAAACCGACTTAAATTTGATCGTGTCTATTTTACCATCGTCCATTCCTACAACACTTTGTAAAATGTTACCTGTGGCTGCCTGATTTTGTGTAAACATATTGGTTCAATGTAGACTGGGGTAAGAAATGAATTTGCATCCACATGACCCCTAACATGTTTGAAATGTAAATTTAAGCCGAAAGATAAGATGTCTATAATATACCCATCAGCACTTGTTTCTAATGCAAATTTTTGGGGTTAATTTTAAAGGTTTTAAATAAAAATAAATAAAATAAAACACTGTGGAAGTATTCTTTGAGTGCTGACTGAGCGTCAAGACAGTTCATTTAAAAAAAATATATAATATCGCTAACTTAAGATATTTTCATTTGAAAATCAAACATGATACAGTCAGCTGACAGGTATAGTGTCTTGTGTTCATCCGTTAATCAACATGATTAAAATGTTAGGCAGAATTTAACATGAACATTTTATTTTGTTCTGAACTCGGGTACCCGGGTCGGGTGGGTACTGAGTAGTACCCGGGTACCCACAGGACTACCCGGACCCGTGGTTAGTCACGTGATACATTGTCTAATGACTGAAACTATCTGGAACTCTATGGTTACACTACAAGTCATTAATGTTCGCTTTTCTTTCTGACTATGCACCCATTCCTTCTGACTTTTCATATGGTTGAATTAACATATAACTTAATTCAACTTCAGTGTATGCATGACCAGATTGTTTAATACATGTATCTTAACACGTTTTGCCAGGGCTATGCTAAAAAATATCCCATTCGGACATTTTGAGACATCTCCTGAGACCTAGAGTGGGTATCCGGGTAGGGTAGGGTAAGAGGGGGGCGGGTACCCGGGTAGTAAATTTGGACTCGTCCCAGCTCTACCAAGAAGACGACAATCGTGTTCATTGTTTAGTTTGTTGCTGGCGGCTATAGAGTAAGGCGGATACGGTGGGTAACAGGTAGCGACGCTTTGTCACCGGATAGCCAGATCCGGCTGACTGTAGGCCATGTGCCTTACTGTGTCTCATCACTGCAGCAATATATGCATGTTCATACCTGCCGGACAACCGGAAAATCCGGAAAGGCTGTCACAGGTCACGGAGTAATTACAAGAATCGCACAAGGATATAACTTATAAGTCAGGGCCGTGGCCATTTACTACTGGCTCAGCCCAGTTATGATCCGGTTGCGTCGTTTGCAATGTAAGGGAGACAACTCTCTGTGTGTATTACACTGTGTGCTTCAAGAAGCGTGTTGTGTCGTTTGTACAAAAGAGGATGTTAAATAAACACTAAGATTAGATACTATCACAGCCCCTCACGAAAGTGTCCTGTTCTACTACCGCTTAACAAACGTAAGAAAGAAATATGTGACAGCGCGTGTTGGAACAGTAGGAGTTCCGCTTGCAAAGAGATAGTTTTTGTTTGAGACAGAATATTGTTTTCTGCCGCTTGACATGCAGCGTTCCTTTCTCGGGAATGGGGAGACAAACAGTTTTGGGCTGATCCACAAGAAGAAGATATTAATGAAACTGACTTTCATTGAAACATTATTTTGGGGGTTTATACCTGGGTCAAAGTTATCTTTTTGAGAATTTTCTGTAACTTCATTTAGAAAAAATAAATTCACAGTATGGTATATGACGATAGTGTGAATGCTTTGGGATACTGTGAATGTATTATAATTGTGTATGCGTATTGTGTTAACGTAAATGTATAACGGCAGTGAATGAATGCTTTTGAAGTCAATGTATGGGGGTAATGTGAGTATGATAATTTGAATGTATAATGATATTGTAAAGGTGATAATTTGAATGTATAATGATATTTTAAAGGTGATAATTTGAATGTATAATGATATTGTAAAGGCGATAATGTGAATGTATAATGATATTGTAAACGGGATAATGTGAATGTATAATGATATTGTAAAGGCGATAATGTGAATGTATAATGATATTGTAAAGGCGATAATGTGAATGTATAATGATATTGTAAAGGTGATAATTTGAATGTATAATGATCTTGTAAAGGCGATAATTTGAATGTATAATGATATTGTAAAGGCGATAATGTGAATGTATAATGATATTGTAAACGGGATAATGTGAATGTATAATGATATTGTAAACGCGATAATGTGAATGTATCATGATATTGTAAACGGGATAATGTGAATGTATAATGATATTGTAAACGGGATAATGTGAATGTATAATGATATTGTAAACGCGATAATGTGAATGTATAATGATATTGTAAACGGGATAATGTGAATGTATAATGATATTGTAAACGGGATAATGTGAATGTATAATGATATTGTAAACGCGATAATGTGAATGTATCATGATATTGTAAACGGGATAATGTGAATGTATAATGATATTGTAAACGGGATAATGTGAATGTATAATGATATTGTAAACGGGATAATGTGAATGTATAATGATATTGTAAACGCGATAATGTGAATGTATCATGATATTGTAAACGCGATAATGTGAATGTATAATGATATTGTAAACGCGATAATGTGAATGTATAATGATATTGTAAACGCGATAATGTGAATGTAATCAATGTATAATGCTGGTGTGAATGAATGTTGATAAAGTCAATGCATGACGATAACCTGGATGTATGATAATGTGAATGTATGAAGATAATGTGAATGTATAAAGATAATGTGAATGCATAATGATAATGTATCTGTTTCCAAATACTGTGAATGTACGCACATGCAGTGAATGTTTGACGTAGTACGTTTGCTAGTGATGTGAATATAAGTAAGTATGAAGTGAAATGATAGCAATAATGGAAGTGGATGGCGATAATGTGAATGGAGGTCTCCCAGAACGCTTCGAATGCTTTGGTGGCGTTGTTGTTGGTGGTGGTGTTGATAGAGATGATGTTGATGATGCCGATGTTGATGGAAATTTATAATGGCTGTAAAAGACAAATTTGCTAATCCATTTTAATATGCTCCTTCAGGCATTAGCTCCCAGACAGTCTGTAGTGTCGAACATGACGCGGCATGTGTGGCGGCCGTGACGTCCCTCTACACCAACGCTTCAGCCTACTGGTTTGGGTCGGCGTATGCGACGTCCTGCCCCGCTGATTTGCAAGACACCCTGCTGTGTATGAACGCTAAACGCTCCCGCACGTCCCTCCTTACTCGACTGATGGGGGACGCCGCCACCGAAACCAGCGGTTTCTCATTCGTCGTCAACGTCACGTACTCCACATCGCCAGGTAAGCATCGCCAACGACGGTATTACTCATAGCACAAGAAAATGTTATTCTTAATCCCAGAAAGAATATGCTAGCTGTATCTAGTTACACTAGAAACCAGTTCGGAATACGTGTCACCGCTGTGTGGACGTTGGTCCTGATATCGACCATAGGGTTGTCTCGTCTAGACACGCTCACAGAGAGGCTGGTGTGATGTGAGTATAGTACTATCACTCTCAGAGATAAATTAAAACGTTCTATATGATAAGTGAGTGAGTGAGCTGGGTTTAACTCCGCTTTGAACAGTATTCCAGTTATATCACATCGTGTCAGCTTAATGTGGGAGGAAAGCCCGTAGTAATGCAGGTCTCAGACGTTTATTACTTTGGTAAAACCCACGGTATACAAAGCTGAGAAACAGGGCGAACCGGGATTCGAACCGACGATCATAGGTTTCTGGCGCGCCTAAGGGACGTAACTCACAGTGCACTGTCCCCTTATATATGATGATGTACATGGAACTAACGTCACTTTAAACAGTACTTTAGTAAATGTTTTAGTAAGTGACGCTGTTCGTAGACGTGTAGCTTTATTGGGAAACCAAGGACGGTGTGTATGGTGCTCTCAGACTAAGAGTTATAATCGGGCGAATCTAGTATCAGAATCTACTACCAGCGAATCCTGGCACAGTTCAGGGATGCTACTCTGCACAGTCAATTGGGACACGCCTTAGACAACCAGGCCACCAGTGCACAGTAATGGTAACAGACAGTTAATACAGGTACTAGAACATTATCTAACAAGTAAAAAAAGCGTGTCCAAGGTAACGATAGCATACATCAATTAATCGTTAAATTAATCGTGTGTATATTCTTTTCTGCAGGTACATACGAAGGCTGTGGAAGAAAGGTGACGATACCAATGACGACACAACGCACTTTCTCAATCGACCCTCTCGACGACAACATCTACGCCCCATTCGATCTGCGTGAGCAGCCGGAAGTGACATGGGTGGCAGATGAGAACGCCCTTTACACTGTTGTGCTGTATGACGCCGGTATTTTCTTCACGCATGCGTTGTACGTCAACGTCGCTGGTGGACGACTGCAGGGAGGGGAGGTATGTTACACCTTGATCAGAAACACCCATGGATGACGTCATAGGTCTAAATTAGGGCATGGATTTAGTACTCGGATGGGTGATCATGTGACCATTTGGGTCACGGATGTGCCACACTTTGGTGGTCTCAAATCATTGGTCGGTTGGTTGGTTGGTTGTTTTACGCCGCACTCAGCAATATTCCAGCTATATGACGGCGGTCTGTAAATAATCGAGTCTGGACCAGACAATACAGTGATTGATATCATGAGCATCGATCCACGCAATTGGGATCAATGACATGCTTCAACCAAGTCAGCGAACCCGACCACCCGATCCCGTTAGTCGCCTCTTACGACAAGCATAGTCGCCTTTTACAGCAAGCATGGACTGCTGAAGACCTATTCTACCCCGGATCTTTACGGGTCCAAACCATTGGACTAATAGGTAGACTGGTAGAGGAAAATGCCGAGTGGAATCGAGCGGGATGGTGGCCAGGTCTAAGGCGCCTCAATTTGTTGTGCATATAGTTCAGTCCCTTAGCCGTACCAGGATCCGAGAGGCACCCCGAATATGATGCTTGGTCTCTCGGTGGCATGCAAACGTTATATCCCCACCCAGTTACGTGTCAATTCACCGCCGTCATACAGCTAGAATATATTGCTGAGTGTGGCGTTAAACATGTGTGGTGAGGTGAAATGGGGTTAACGTCGCGCCCAAGACTATTGCAGTTATATAGCGACGTGCATGCACCTTTGTGTGTGTGTGTGTATGTGTTGCTGCTTGTACTGCTTGTATCCGGACTGATACCGATTTAATGCTTGCCAGCTGAGAAACCTACCGCAGTTTAAAAAGAATACCCCACTCAGACACAATATACTGACTCCGAGCCGACCATTCCTTGTTTTACCCCCTTTTTGCCAAGCACCAGGCAGGGTAACAACAAGTACAAATTTTCAACATCTTTTGGTATGACGCGGCAGGGGGTCGACCCCGCACCTTCCGCCCTTACGGAGGCGGTCGCGGCGTTCAACAACAAACAAACAACCGTTTCACATCCCGCGAAGATCCGGGTTAGAATTGGTCTTTAGAGACCCGTGCTTGAGGTGTGGCTGAAATAGTGTGTGTTTGCCAATATGGTTTAACTCTGCAGTCAGCATTATCCAAGCTCTTACCCATTGTTCTGTCGAGTCTGGACCACACAAACCAGTTGCTGTTACTATGGACAACCGACGTCGTATGGGTACACACTCATAAGCATTGCCTGTTAGAGTTTAATAATTCCCAGTGCATTAAAGTGCGTTAACTCAGCTAGACTTACTTGTGGCTCCGTTTCTAAGATTATGGGGATGTTGTGTTTAGGTGGTGTTTAGGCTGTGAGACGATAGCTCATGTCATGTGTTTAGACCTAAATGCGTTTAGATAGAGCATACCAAATGTTTAAGATTTAAACACATTCCTTATGATTTTTAGATCTAAACATGTCTTGTCTGTGTTTACATTCTAAACACACTTGTAACAGTGTACCAGGTATTTGCGATAAGGTGGGCGTGCCCCGCTCTACCGGTGGCGCCCGTCACAAACACATTCAAGGGCAAGTCAATGGTTCACCTCAACAAAACACGGGAACATGTAGTACACGTCAAAACAAGGACTTGCGTCTGACGTCATTAAATACACATGTACTCACTCTAGTTCCTTGAAAATCAGATTCACGTCAAACTTGAAATCATAATAATCTATTTTTCTCCCCAGACATTCAAGTCTTATTTTCCTACCCTGACAATCAAGTCTTATTTTACTCCCCAGACAATCAAGTCTTATTGTTCTCCCCAGACAATCAAGTCTTATTTTGCTTCCCAGACAATCAAGTCTTATTTTTCTCCCCAGACAGCCAAGTCTTATTTTTCTCCCCAGACAATCAAGTCTTATTTTGGCCCCGCGAGCCCCGTGGATCGTGTAAACCCCTACGTATGGATCGTCTTCGAACAACCGACGTCTCTAAACGCCACTGACGTCACGGCGTTCTACAACAACCAGACAACAGCTAATAAGGGAAGCATGTACCTGGACATGTTGGTGACCCGATTCAACCTTTCAGGTGAGAACAGAAGCAGGCGCATGTGCTTGACCTTCGTTCAGTAGTAGAGTTGCTATGCTTTGTATCAGCCTGTGGTTGCCTGGCCAAAATGGATTGTTGACATACTGTCGCGATAGATGTGAGGCTGTTTGTTGTTTGCCAAGGTCCGTTATAGTACAGCAGTATCACTGCGGCCTGTAGTAATTGAGTCTTGGCCAGGCAAATCAGGGACTGAAATACATGCAATGAACTTGGTTCAATGTTGTCCATGACACACAATCAGTCACCGAGTGAGTGAGTGAGTTTGGTTTTACGCCGCTTTTAGCAATATTCCAGCAATATCACGGCGGGGGACACCAGAAATGGGCTTCACACATTGTACCCATGTCGGGAATCGAACCCGGGTCTTCGGCGTGACGAGCGAACGCTTTAACCATTAGGCTACCCGACCGCCCCATCAGTCACCGAGCCTGACCATCCATCTATCATCATCGCATTTTGAGACAAGTAATGTTTTGATTGTTTGTTGTTTAACGCCGCACTCAACAATTTAGACGGTTGGGGGCCTGTTCTGAATCTGCAGTGATGTACCCGGAACATTGCTGACGGAGGTGTAACACAAACTACATCATCTTAACCTGGCTTCCACGGGAGATATCATTTCAATGAAATTGAATCAAATTGTTTTGAAGTCAATTGTTAAGTCAAATGACTTCAATTGGACCACTGATCTATCTTCCAACCAAGCTGGCTAGCTATAAGACACTGGTATAACTGTTTACAAAATGGAACTTGTGGAAGAAATATTTGATATCAAACGACAGTCGGGTGAGATTCTTTGTGTACTCGGGGGCATGGGTGGCCCAGTCGTCTAAGGCGCCGCGATTCGCTGTCCTGAGTTGCGTCCCTTGGGCACGCCAGAAACCTATGATTGTGGGTTCGAATCCCGGTCCGCCCCGATTATGTTTCTAGGTTTGTCAGCACCATACCCGTGCTCGTGGGTTTCACCGAAGTGGTAAACGTCTGAGACCTGCATCACTTCGCGCTTTCCTCCCACATTAAGCTGACACGCCGTGATATAACTGGAATACTGTTAAAAGCGGCCTTAAAACCCAACTCACACACTCAAAAGTGGAACAGTAGTATGCAACAAGTCAAAGACATCCAGCTGGGACATTGTGGCCCTAATGGTTTACTCCCTCCCAACATTACTGAGAACATTCAACAATGTATTCTTTCACTTGACGGGGCACGGGTGGCACAGTCCTCTCAGGCCCTGGAATACGTTGTGCAGAGTTGCGTCCCTTCGACACGACAGACACCCATGATTGTGGATTCGAATCCCGGTTCGACCCGATTATGTTTCTTGGTCTTCGAGCACTATACCCGTACCCGTAAATTCCACCAAAGTGGTAAACGTCTGAGACCTTTCGTCCCGCATTAACCTCACTCTCATTTCGTAAAGCGGCGTTAAACCACACTCAGTCACTCTTTCATTTCACTCATCCGACTTTAATATGTTGTTGTGTATATGTTCTGTACAGGTTCATACGGTTTCAACGTCGTCAAGGTAACCAATGACGAATATGCCGCTGTGCTTGTCCGTGGAATGAAGTTCCACAACAGATGTCCCCACTACTACGGGCAATGTGAGTTACTTGACCATTCCGCATGTGTGTCCCATGTTCAGGTGTTCTAGACCTATGAGGCGTCTGCCCGTAGAGCGGAAGGTCGGTTGTTCGATCCCCGGCCTCGTCATACCAAAAGGCGTTAAAAGATGATAACTGTTGTCGCACGCACGCACACACGTACGCACGCACGCAACCCCTGCTCCCGCACAAACACACATACGTGCATGTATACGTAGCTTTTTACGTTAATGCAATGATCGTGGACACGCCGTTAAACCCAATTTCACCTCACCTCACCTCCTAATGTGAAAAATAGCATGTATCGTGGGTCATAGTCCATGTTTTACTGTTGTAACATCAACAAAATGTAATGTACTGAACTGACTGACCTATTATAGCTGCCATATAGACTCCATTTCCTCTATTTGAAGGGCTGGGCGACTACATAGGGCAGCGAGGAGGCTTGCCGTCACTTACCTCCCCTTTCGACCTTAGTATATCAGTTGACGTCACATTCACCGCTTCCTCCATAACGTATGAAGCTTGCTGCACCGAAGAAAAAAATGGGTAGGTTCCTTTAATATCATAATACACCATAACATTATCTGGTGCTGTGCTACACACAGGGATAGACACGGCCACTTGGCCGTTAGTCCGAGACTAGTGGAAATCTAGACTAGTTGTGTTCTCCCTTAATCTAGTATTTGTTTACGTCACGGCTAATCCGAAATGAGCTGCTTGTTAGTAGTTGGATATGACCAGAATGTCTACCCATGGTTTCTCATATCCCCGTTATAACGTACTGCAGTGGACGCAAGGTCAAGGCTATGTTGACACCGTATATGATAATGATCTTACGGAATACATAGATGTAATCCGAACAATCGCTACATTTAAACTTGTTAAAGGATTGAAAGAGAATTAAAACTGTAGATATTAGCGATCCGTGGAAGAGAGTGTGTAGAGTGTGCCTGCTTTGTACTTTGGTGTGGCTCTACCATAGCTTTCATTATGAAAAGGTGTTTTTTTTTAAATATTCATAGTATGTGCATTCACTGTTTGAATGTATTAAACAACCTCTGCAACGTTGTAATCTCCCTTTCTCGTTTCCAGCCCGGTAAACGTGACTTTGGATTATAGAAACTCTGGCACACTCAAAACTGTGGAGACTCGAAACACCCCGAATATCAAGCTAGTTCCCACGGAGATACTTCAAGCACCTGCTAACACACTCAAAGGTAATGGACTGCCTCGGTGGTCTAGTGGTAGAGCGTCCGCCCGGAGAGCGGTAGGTCCGGGGTACGATACCCGGCCGCGTCATACCAAAAGACGTTAAAAGATGGTACTTTTTGTTACCCTGTCAAGCGCTCGGCATTAAGGGGTTAAAGCAAGGACTGGTCGGCTCGGAGTCAGTATACTGTGTCTGAGTGGGGTAGTCATGTTAAACTGCGGCATGGTATCTCAGTGAGCTACCACTATAAATCGGCATCAGTCCGGACTAGTACAAGCAGCCACACGCACACACACGTGCATGCACGTCTCTATATAAGTGCAATAATCTTGGACGCGTCGTTAAACCCAATTTATATAATGACCGGTGAAATATAACCCCCGAGCAGAAAGTATACACTTAAATATTAGATATGAACCAATAATCACAAACGTTATCAAAACGTTACTACCCTGAAAACAATCGCCGAAACACTGCAAACCCGATGTATCAAATGCATGACCATCGAATAATCATTTCTTGTTTGTTTCATTGTCAGCCACCATAAAAAATTGGTGTAATTTCTTTTGCAATACATGAAAAATTATAAGTTTATATCCCAAGGCGGATACCATAGATACCACGTGTACCTCAGACCAAGGGGATGGGGGTGGGGCTTGTGGTAAAAGCGTCTGCTCGACACGCCTAAGTTCGATTCCCTATATTGGTACATCAGCGGTGATATGGCATGAATATTGACTCTCTACATTAAAATGTACTAAATTATATTATAAAACTAGTCGGCGTACTGATTAAGCTATGTAGCTAAATATGTGCTGTAGTATAGGGTAAATCTTCCGGATTACCCGTTCGTCATCTTGAAGAAGCTTCACATGCTGAGTGTGTTGGCTTGGGAAGCAGCGTTTTGACCTTTTCTTGGTCATCCTCGATTATCCAGTGTATATATCTCAACCACCCGCTGTGTAGAGTTGCGTCCCTTAGTCGCTCAAGAATCCAATGATCGTGGGATCGAATCGCCCTGATTATGACTTGGTTTGTCAGCACCATGCAGATGCTCGTTGGTTTCACCACAGTGGTAAACGCCAAGTATCATCTGGGGATTTCGTCCCACATCAAGCTGACATAATGTCATACCTGTTCAAAGCGGCGTTAACCAAAACATGATATTTAGTTTTGACAATTTAAAAGATACAAAAGTATAAATCATCTCCGAGATGGACATTTCATTTAATCCGTCCATTCAAGATATGCCTAAGCATGTAGTTTTACAACTTTTTACACATGTAATTGTCTTGTTTCAGACAAACAGTACACGCTGATAATGTATGACCCTACCCCTGAACTCAACAAGACCAAACAGAACTCGTATGTTCATTGGATGATCGTCAACATCCGGGGTACTAACATCACTTCCGGTGACGAGGTGTATGACTGGCTTCTGCCCATGACGTCAACGTTGACCCAGCTCTACCTGTTTGCCTTGTTCGAGCAGACGACATCTGTAAACGTTTCCTCGGCTAAATCATATAGTCGAGACGGTTGTCACGAATTTGTTTCGAACAGGTGGGTTTTGTATGATATTTGTTAACAATGGGTGGCGCGTTGCGGTCAGAAATCATCTTTCATCCGTTCATACATCCATATATATCCCTTGGGCTACCTGACGTACAATAGGTCCCAAACAACTCACTGTTGGTCGTAGGTATCGAATAAATTGCACTGATCTCTGTAACTTGATTAATTGGGTATCACCACACCCCGTTGCCATGGATCCTTGCTGGTGCGACACGACGTTAATTAATAAATTCAACAAATATTCTCTTTGTTTTTGATAGCCACGACTGCCCTAACTTAAGTACACTCACAATATCCTAAAGTCCACTCATCGCCACTATTATTTTATTTATTTTTCATACTTAAATTGAACTATTTCTTTTCTTTGCCACAGGTGCGAATATCGGGCCGGAGATTTCATTCGTGCAAACCAACTCTCCCTCGTCGGTCTGCGGTATCTAAAGATTGTTCCCGGTACTTATCGGCAGTTTATATCGTATTCTGAGGCCAAATTGCAAAGCATGGACGATGCATGCAAAGGCACACGCGGGTACGCTAACCCATGTCCTACTTCCGGTTCAGAGAAAATGACATCGTCCGCCATCTTTGTTTCACTCTTGACAGCCGCAGTTGCATACATGTCAAAACGGAAGTGATCAACATTGTCATAGATCTACATGTGTAAGAAGAAAGATGCGCAAGCTCATTATATGATCACACTTGAAACTGAACTGAAAACTGGAAACCTATTGTTGTTGTTTTTGTCTCGATTACCAGCCTTCTTTGATTCGTCAACACCACACAGTTTAAAACCCAACTTCGTCCTTCAATTTTGTGAAATGTTTTGGGTTTTGTTTGTAAATAAAATATTTTATGTTTTTACATTCGGAGTCGTGTTCCACAACATTTCATAGTTAAGATACTCGCATCATACCGATTATACTAACATAGCCGTATGCCAGAGTTTCAGACAAGCTTGGTATTTGCGGAAGATACGCATAATAGATGACCGTAGCTGGACGGATTTTGACTTACTTTCGCAAAGTTAAAATAACTCAGTAGTATAACACTAACGTTTTGATTGGTAATTTAGAAGTTGGCGAGTAAATAATATAAAACGTTCAACTTAATGGATAACAGCTTCTGGTATATTGCAGTATGATGAGGAGCACATATAGCTGGTGTGATTTATGTGACAGCACACGAACAGATGCAAATTAGGGGTCGCCATCCGGGATTCGAACCCTCACTCTCCTAGTGAGGCACTTAATCGCCAGCACACAAAGTCCGCGATCTAACCCACTCAAACTTTGTCTTTGGATACTTTAAATGGAGGCAATCCAAAAGCTCCATGGTAGGTCTCATTATAACTATCAGCGAAAGTTTTGTACTTGTTTCATATACGAATAAAACAATTTATAGGTGAAGTATCGATACAACCTGGTCCTTAGAGTGTTCAGCACTTGTTCTTCCACTGCTGCCTTCGTGACATTGTTGGTCGGTAGATGCTGTTTTTCTTCAAAAGAGACTGTACCATTTCGCACACTCACTCTATGTCCGAGGCTAACTCTTGTCTGATGACTAGCTAGTCCGCCTATGAAGACGGCTACCAGTGGATCTCTGGGGGAGATTTGATGTCAGTCTCCGCAACTCCACCAACACACACCACTCACTATAATATATACTGAACGTCATCGCCGGGACCGTCGTCAGTGGGCAACACAGCACCAGCATTGACGCCACCAGCGTGGCAGAGAGAGAGAGAGAGAGAGAGAGAGAGAGAGAGAGAGAGAGAGAGAGAGTCTGGCGACGCCGTGGGGAACGTTATTCGGATGCTTGTGTTGTTGAGAGAGACTCGTGGGGTGGTCCGAGCATCATGGGGTGGGGCGGAATTTGTCTTGCACAGAGGGTCGGCCCTGTGGTCTTCAAGAACATCGGTCCAGGAAGAGGCAATGGTGTCACAGCGGCTCAGTCTTGAGACCACAAGCCATACCTCATTTGGCTCGTCGGTGCAACCACGAGTTTCAGCCTGATAACGCCCGTGCCCACACTGTGAGAGCAATACGAGACTTCCTCCAGCAGAATGGCAACAGAACCATGCAGAGGCCTGTCCTCAATCCCGATTTAAACCCCATTGAGCACCTGTTGGATGAGATTCAAGGCCGACAACTGCAGCTCAACTGCGTCAGGCGTTCCTCAGAGTGTGGGTTCAAGTGCCTATGGATTTCATCAATCGCCTCATCCGTTCCATGTATCGACGTTGCACGGCAGTCATCAATGCACATGGCGGACACACAAGATGCTGACTTATGATGCCCATTTCTCAGACACTAGTGTTGTGTTTCACTTTAAGAACATTTGACACTTTAATTTCAACCTTAATGATCAGTTTTGCCAAGTTTCATCTTTTTAATATGTCTCAAAGTATGTTTACAGTGTTTGGACAAATAAGGATTCTCATATATCTACCCATGGTGACGTTTCTTTTGCGGTTCAGTATATACTACTAACTCGCACAACCCGAGAAGATCCTGATTAGCGTTTGTCTTCAGCAAACGACTAACAGGATCGGGTGGTCAGGTTCTGTGACGTGGTTGATGCATGTCAAAGTATCCCACTTGCTTAGATTGATTCTCATAATATCAAACACTGGATTTTCGGGTCCAGACTCAATTATTTTCAGACCGCCGTTATTTCTTGGTGAGTGCGGCCTTAAACAAAAAACAAACAAAACTGACTCTCATACTAATGTTTTTGTGTCATTCGTGTGTGCAAATTGTGTATGTGAGATGAGGTGAAATAGGGTTTAAAGTCGCGTACAAGAATATTTCACTTGTATGTGTGGAAGCTCGTTTCCTCACTACATAATTATTTGTCGGTTGTATGGTGCTTGCGATTGAAATACCTTGCTACAGTTTAACATGGATACCCCACACAGGCATGCACTGATTTGCATATACTTGTTTGATGCATGTCATCGTATCCCATTTGCGTAGATTGATGCTCATGACGTCACTGGATTGTCTCGTCCAGATTCGATTATTTTACAGACCTCCGCCATACAGCTGAGTGCGGCGTTAAAAAACAAACAAACAAAAGCAAGCCTTAGTGACGAAACTTTGCAGTGCGAATTTTTGTGGGTTGGACGACTGAGACATCCGTGCCCCACTTTTATAACTGTAGGCTAAGTGACAACTAGCCCTTACAATATGTCACAAGCACTCCACGGAAAAAAAAATAGCTCGTGATTTAAAATACGTCTTCTTGAGCATGTTCTGTGAACTGTTGTTTTGTGATTATTAAATCTAAACTATTAAGATGTTTGAAAAATAAAATAATGAAGTCAGTGGAAAATGACGTAATTTGCTTATCGACAACCTGTATTGCAGCATCTCACCGGTCCACATTGATTGTAGGTTGTCAAACAGGATAGGCTTGGTGTTGCATGCTAGCGCACCTTATTTCAACCAATTGAAACAGATAATTGCCAACACATTTTTACTTTGGCATATCAGGGAGTGACTTGAAAGTGTTGCTGTTATCCCGATAACAAAAGGTTCAATGACATTGTAAAATGTGCAAGTTCACATTTCAGTAAAGGGGCATAACTCTGTAAACCAAAAAATGCTAAATCAAATGACCACATGACTGTAGCTCACCTGACTTGTTTTCTGGCCTAAAGAAATCATATCAGGGGTGAAATGCGGTTAAGTTAGCTTTTAAGATTATTGCACTTATATAGCGACCGTTTACTAGTGCTAGCCAACTGAGATACCACGCCACAGTTACATATGGATACCCTATTTAAACACAGTATACTTGCAGCCAGCCCTTGTTATCACCTAAATGCTGAGTGCCAGGCGTGGTAACATCGAGTACCATCTTTTAACGTCTTCTGGGAGGATGCGACTGTGATCGAACTTTGGTGCTCTATGCACTAGACCGGGAGATAGTCAGACAGATGAGAAAGATCAACAGAAGATTCAAAATAAGTGAGGGGAATTTTACATGTACAAAAAATCACAGGTTGATATAGAATTGAAACTCAAAGGTCGATTTGGGCCAAATGTCACAATACACAACAAAATACATGGTGCTATTGGATATACAACAATTTATGTACATAACAATTTCATCAACTTAAGACATGACATTTACAAATGGCTCCCATGTTCAAAGATGCTGAAAATGCAACAAAACAGCAGCATCAAAAATCAAAACACACCAAAATTGTAGTTATTCTGCATACCAGAATCTCACTGGAAATACACGTTCATTCTGCTACACGGAGAAATGTCTGAGTAATGGGCACAAGTAATATTTTGAACATGGCCACAGTGGCGGTAACTGGATCTGGATTCTTTAAGAATATTTGGAGACACCATAACTTACGAGTTTCGAGTTTCAACTATGTATGTATTATAATTTCAGGTGTTCAAAATGTAAATGTATACATAAGAGCGGACAGATGAAGGGCATACAACCTACACTTTAACTTACCTAACTGAAAATCTAGGTGAGCTAAAAATGAATTTCGTCCTGATGTGCATGTTTTGTGATTTACACATTCCAGTTTCATTCCAATATCTAAAGGTCTCCTGTTATTAAATACATATACCACTACACATTAATGAATTCACCTATCTGATATGAGTCATTTATAACAAAATAACGAGCAACTTCAGGACAAGACATCACAAGAAATATTCATTTGGTCATTGCCATGTTCATATAAGAAGACTTCTGACAAAAGACATACCAGTATACATAATGGATACCTTCCTTGGGATCAGAGGAAACCACGGAAACAGTATTTTAAAAGGATAATAGCAAATTTTATGTTTGAAAACAAAATCTAATGAGAAAAATAGTGTTACGGCGCTGTAGCTCACCTGGATATGTAGTCAGCAGATAAAAACAGACACTAGAACTGGTAACATTGATAGTCTGCATAAATACAAATACATAACACTAAAATCTAAGGAAATGAACACATCATCAGGAGAAACATACATGCCAAAGTTCAGCTCCCCCAATCTGGCTTTTTAAGAGGAGGAGAAAGTTACACAGGCAAATATGTATTTTGTGAGATCTTAAAAGCATGACCAGACAAGGTATTTAAAATATTTCTAAAAAATGGACTGTATCCAGTGGAAAACTTGTAATGAAAGGGAGATCACTCTTGTCAGGATGCTATGATAATATGATGGCAGTAAAGAAAATATGTCAATACATTCAACTATCCTTTCTTTTCTGCCTGAACAACGTTTTCCTCCCCAGAGCAGAGATTCCAATTTATCCAAGGACGCCATGTCTGATTCTACTGGTCAGGGTGTCAGTGGAAATGGCTTACACTAGGCAGTTCTCCCAGCATTTTAGGTGGACTGGGATTCCCTTACTGATCCACTTCTGTGCTACAAGGAATCCTCGTGGAACACTTGCAAAGTCAACAGGGCTGTCAAAAATCTGACCCAAAAGTCGATCTCGAATACTGGTGTTTATAGCCGCCTGATCCCTCAATGTGACCAGCATCTCGCCATAGAGATATCCCCCCACAGAGAAACCGTGGATCATGAGTGGCTTATCACGTCTGCTGCTGTCGTCTAGAATATTGATCACCTCCTGCATGACGACCTGAGCCTTCTTGGGCTGGATCACCTTGCTTGGAGGAACCTGAACACTCAATACGTCAAATCCTTTACTTATATATAGATTTCCGTATTTATCAAGATGACGCTTCTTTGCATTCATCCAACCAACAAGGACTACTAGTGGCCTTGACCTTGAGAGTGTTCTATTACATTCCCGCGGCTGCGAAGTTCAAGGTTGGATGAAAACTTGACAGTGTCTGGCCAAGGGGCACTTGAGGCGAAGCAAACACATTGTATTAAGGGGAGACATCTGTAACAAAGTAGCAAATAAAGATTAAATACGAGGAAATACCGATGAGTTGTTGCCACGTTTAGCAATATTCCAGCAATATAGGTGTGTGTGTGTGTGTGTGTGTGTGTGTGTGTGTGTGTGTGTGTGTTTTCCTGAACCACAGCCTGGGCATTGCATTTGGAACTGCTGTATAACGTGTATGGTTGAAGTACACAATCGAGATAATACTTTAAACACGTGGCCCAAATGACAAATGCCCAGTGTCAGAGCCTTTTGTTGTGCTCTAATGATCAATGAGGGGCGGTCGGGTAGCCCAGTGGTTAAAGAGTTCGCTCGTCACGCCGAAGACCCTGGTTCGATTCCCGACATGGGTACAATGTGTGATGCCAATCCCTGGTGTCCCCCCCCCCCCCCCCCACCCCGTGATACTGCTGGAATATTGCTAAAAGCGGCGTAAAACCATCCTCACTCACTTACTAATGATCAATTGGGTACAAGTAATTTTACTTTATTGTCAGCAAAACCGATATAAAATATTGTTACAATCGACAGGGGCAATTAACATTACAATTTCCATAGCCAAACCAAATTAATGAAATTCTGATCTATTACTCCATCTTGGTGGTTTACAGATGAGCTATGTGCCATCACCTAAATATGCATAACAGAATCGTTACTCAGTGTATTATAAATGGCGACACTGTCAGGGACTGGGTGTGTTACCTCATCAGAGAGCCGCACGCATCACTTTAGCAGGATAAGTTACCAGGCAATTCTGTAAACAGAATTAAAATCAACAAACAAATGGTACGTACTGTTGGGTTTTCCAGTCCTCATATTAGTATCAAAGAACGGTTATGACTCGGTGTTAACGCTGTACCCATGTGTTAGAACGGATGTTGACATTACCAGTACAGCATTCAGTGGCAATTCATACATCCCTCTGGCCGCAGCTATTTGAATCCTGCAAGCACTTCTTGCGGGCTTCTTAGAGGAAAGTCATAGTAAAGTATTTAAATCCAATCTCATTAAAATCAGATCTTTGTTTAGCGATAGCGAGAACTAAGATCTGATTTCAATGAGATTGGATTTAAATCTTACCATTTCCCATACCTCTGACTCTACTTCTGCCATCCCCTAACTAAACCATTCCTGGAAACGCCCATGTAATGTGCCACGTTGTGGCATAAACGGTTTACTGTTTTCATGGCTTATTTCACAAAATGATACAAATTGGCAAATGGAGTCGGTAAGTTGTCAGCATCCCTGGAAATATCTATCATATCCAAATAATGTATTGAACACTACTGATACACAATACATAGGCATCAGCACTGCCCTGCATTTCCTTCTTTGTTGTGTGGTGATTTGTACTGCCTCACGTAAATTGTCAGCTTTGAGTATCAACTAGATCTCCACACCATTACGAATAAATACCCTGGACCTGCCACACCATAGCTTTCCGCTGTGACGTCAGTGACCTGAGTGTTTGCAGGTATGCCCTGGCATAGAAAATACTTTGCTCATGAGAATAAGTGGAGTTTTAGGGTAGTTTTAGCATCTACCCTTCCAAATACACGGGCTTAAACCGAAGCAATGGGTAGCGAATGGGTCCATGGTATATATCATAATAGAACGGAGATAAAATACCCTGGATAAACGAGGGTGATAAATAGAAGATATTTTAAAAATAATAGTTAGATTCAGCGATTTGGCTATTATTAGGACAATTGTATTATTTTATCATTGCATTAACAAAGTTTAACTAAACATATCTGTATGAAATTTAAGACGAGAATTAGTCAATGTCGAGGAAAATGGGATGAATGAGAAAATCTTCCAAAACAAATTTGAAGAAAGCTATCATCAATACATGGTCATCATGTTAGAGTTTTGCTCCATGCTGTTGCCATACACGTATATATGATGTCAGTAGGTTACACACTGGAGATGCCATTAAGATGTGAAACTGAAATCTATTTACAGTACATTGAATTCTTACGAACTTTAGGCACATGAACACAAGAATGAATCACCATCAGTATGAAAAGTTTTTTAAAAGAATTAAGGGTCAAGTCCTGGATCAAGGAACCCATCTTTAACTTTTAACATAATCATTATGAAGGGAGTCCCATCAGACTAGACTTGTATGCCTAATTTCGATTATATTTTCAGTTGAGCGGACAGGCTTTTCACTAACTATCTTATAGAACATATACACACACAGGACCGGTAATGTTTCTCAACGTATGTGTTACTCACTGGAGAGAAACTTTTCCATTTGTTTTGTCAACTTTGTGAGCGGGGTTTCAGATAGCATCCGGTAGTACCTCCAACCCATCTTGATACGTGAACCAATGACTTGACCCATCTGTGCGTAGTTCTCCGGAGTTAGTCGACGATCCTATAACATGAGTGATTGTGTGATCGTTGTTTAATGCCGCATTTACAGATATTCCAGCTTATGACGGCGGTCTGTAAATAATTGAGCCTAAACCAGATAATCCAGTGACTTAAAATCATGAGCATCGATCAACACAATTGGGGTACGATAAATGCGTCAACTAAGTCACCGAGCCTGAACACCCGATCCCGCCAGTAGTCTCGTATGGCGAGCATGGGTTGCTTGATATCAGTTATAACTCTGATCCTTAGGGGTCTGTGACATAAGAGAGTTACGGGCCATGTTATCATGTCTTGACAGAGGAGGACCCGTAAAGATCCGGGGTAGAATAGGTCTTCAGCAACCCATGCTTGTCGTAAAAGGTGACTAACGGGATCGGGTGGTCAGGCTCGCTGACTTGGTTGATGCAGGTCATCGATCCCAATTGCGTGGATCGATGCTCATGATATTAATCACTGGATTGTCTGGTCCAGACTCGATTATTTACAGACCGCCGTCATATAGCTGGAATATTGCTGAGTGCGGCGTTAAACAACCATTCAACCAATGACAGAGGAGAAACGTGAAATGTGGAGGTCACCTTGCTCTACCCAAATTGGATGTGCTTGAAAAGTACAGCGTTAGAATATGGCGCTAGTCCTATAGTCCTTGCCAAACTGCCCAATAGTTAAGGTATCACAAGGACTAGTAGAAATTTGCCCCCTTTTAAGGGTTTTGCTATATGCTATCATTATAAGGACTAGTGGTCTAAAACTGTTAGTTTCTAACGCTGGAGTTTAGTACAGTGCAGTTAACGCCGCATTCAGTAATGTTCCAGCCAAATGTTCGAGTCTGGACCCGACAAACCAGGGATTGATATTGTGAACAATGATCCACACAGTCAAGGTAACATGAAACACAATCAACCAAGCACCCAGACAGACTACCCTATCCATTTACTCTCCTTTGGTTCAAACCACGAATCGCCACAGAATACTGACATTTTGAACAAAGCATACTTACGAGGTGCAATAGTCTGTCGGAGGCGTATTTACGGTAGAGCTTGCAGTTGCGCACCATATGACGTCTGTTCAAATATAGTAGATGCTTCACTTGCGTACGACTGTGTTTTAAGGAGAAACAAATATTTAGAATATTTGCGAATGACTGCGACAATGATGCGACATTAAATCTTAACTCACTTAACTTAGTGAGATTTATCGAGTCTGCTGTTGGGATTCTACGATCGTGATTCTTAGTTTTTCAGCACCATATCGGTCTTCATGAGTTTGTGGTTAGTAAAACAAACCTGTGCATTTAGCTGACATGCCGTGATATAACTTAAATACTGTTCAATTCCGGGTAAAAAGATGACATGTGTTACCCTGACTGGCGCTTGGCATAAACGTGATACAACAAGGCTGGTTGGTTAGTTGGTTGTTTAACGCCGCACTCAGCAATATTCCAGCTATATGACGGCGGTCTGTTAATAATCGAGTCTGGACCTGACAATCCAGTGATTGATATCATGAGCATCGATCCACGCAATTGGGATCGATGACATGCATCAACCAAGTCAGCGAGCCTGACCACCCGATCCCGTTAGTTGCCTTTTACGACAAGCATAGTCACCTTTTACGGCAAGCATGGGTTGCTGAAGACCTATTCTACCCCGGATCTTCAAGGGTCAAGGACTGCTCAAACAGAGTCAGTATACTGTCCGAGTGGGTTATCAAGTATAAAACCGGCATTAGTTCGGACTAGTAAACGCGGACACAAACACAAAGATACACACACACATCGTTATATATATAAGTGTAATAATCTTGAACGACGTTAAACCCATTTTCATGTCATGACAGCTAAGTTATGATTAAACACTATGTTTGGTTTTGGTTTGGTTTGGTTTGTTGTTTAACGCCGCACAGCAATATTCCAGCTATATGACGGCGGTCTGTAAATAATCGAGTCTGGACAAGACAATCCAGTGATTGACATCATGAGCATCGATCCACGCAATTGTTATACAAAATCATGCATCAACCAAGTCAGCGAGCCTGACCACCCGATCCCGTTAGTCGCCTTTTACGACAAGCAAAGTTGCCTTTTACAGCAAGCATGAACTGCTGAAGACCTATTCTAGCACGGATCTTCACGCTATGTTAAGTTAAAGTTAGATCGGCATAAATGGTAACCTCAGTTGACTCAGTACAATCGCATCACAAGCACGAAGCGCAACATCAGCTTCCTGCAAAAGTCTGTCCTTCCCGCTGTTGGTTCTTCGCAGATGTTCACTGTCGTCTTTATAGAAACCGTGCCAACTCGTGTCATTCCGGGACAAGCTACAAGGGTTCGCCACGAACTCACTTCCTACACTTCTATATTCACTTTTAAAAGTATGGTCCTAAAATAACTCGCCTCATTTTAATCCATCCCTTTGTCATTCTCAGGAAACGAAGCAACTTATTGTCGAAAGTGCGGACAATCGCTGTCTTCAGTTCGAATTGACCTGCAAGTGAATGGCAAGGGGAGTTAGGGACTGGTCACGTATTAAAGGGGGAAGAGAGAGAGAGAGGAGAAAGAGAGAGAAGAGAGGGGAGGGGAAAGGAGGAGAGACAGATTGGTCTTCGGGCGGTTTGTTTGTTTTTGTTTAACGCCGCACTCAGCAATATTCCAGCTATATGACGGTGGTCTGTAAATAATCGAGTTTGGACCAGACAATCCAGTCACTGATATGGGCCCTTTATGTGAAGATTTCAAATATTCCAGAGGTACACCCACACAATGTTAAAATCCTCCACTGTAATTGAAAATGTGGGCTTTCTTCAAATTCAGGGGCTGAAAGCACAAGGCCCCACCGTAGAATTATCCCTGCATTCTTATCTACATTGATCTCTGGTCTAGTCTTGTCATCGTATCCCCAGTTGCGTAGATCGATGGTTTAGTCTTGTCATCGTATCCCCAGTTGCGTAGATCGATTCTCATAATGTCAGTCACTGGATTGTCTGGTACAGACTCGATTATTTATATCATGTAGCTGGATTGGTTGGTTGGTTTGTTGTTTAACGCCGCACTCAGCAATATTCCAGCTATATGACGGCGGTCTGTAAATAATCGAGTCTGGACCAGACAATCCAGTGATTGACAACATGAGCATCGATCCACGCAATTGGGATCGATGACATGCATCAACCAAGTCAGCGAGCCTGACCAACCGATCCCGTTAGTCGCCTTTTACGACAAGCATAGTCACCTTTTACGGCAAGCATGGGTTTTGAAGACCTATTCTACCGGTTCCATGTAGCTGGAAAAATGCAAAGTAAAGCTTAAACAACAAACAAACAAAAGCAAAGTCCCCGTCGTGGTACGTTAAGATGCTAAGTCACTAAGATTGCCCATCCCGTTCCATTAGTAGTCTCGTACAAGCACCTTTGGACCATTTCTAATCCGAAATCCCCAGGGGGGAGACTTTCCATGGTTGAACCAGCATACATTTGTTCAACAGCAATGATTATACTGGAGACAAATGCCAATAGGACATTTTCATGATGTTATCAACTTTGGATAGGATACTTTTCAATACCAAATTTGAAGAAATACCTTAAGAATATTTCGGATGACAATTAGTCCATGTCCTAGAAAACGCCCCGATCTGAAACCCTTCCAATCGGTGCAAGGTGGTCAGTCACAGGGGTGAATGTGGTGCATTATATTCGACTTTCCGAAAAGTGTTGTTATCTCCCTTTGCAAAGAAAATTAGAGTGATGTCCCCTTTTCACGTTCACTTCCGCCGAGTAAACCTTCAAAATGTCGGCAAATAACAATATTGACGTTGATGATGAATTCCATCAAATGACAGTTAAAGAATTGCGTGAATACCTACGGGAACGAAATCAAAAGGTGACTGGGATAAGAGCACAAGTTTTAGCGCGAGCAAGAGGGGCGAAGGCACTTCGTTTGGATGCAACCACCTTAGTACAACCAAGTAAAGGCGTTATATCCTTGCAACGGAAGCTCGTCACACCCAGCGGATATCGAATGCCAGACCCCACTACATTAATGATTGGATGGAACGATGCTGTTGAATCATTGCCGGAATTCTCAGAGAAGGAAATCTACAATTATATGGTACTTAGCAACCATAGGACTTCAGACACGAAACCCATGATGGCTAAACGACAAATGAAGGCAGTGGTGTTTTACCAAGATAGACATGTTCACGGCGTAGCTCTACACAACATCCATCACGACTGTGACCATATGTTTGTCAGATGCCGTGTCATACCATCACTACCAACAGCGGATCCTAAGAAAAGCCCCGATCACGAAGTTTGGGCAAGTCTCTCAAAAGTTACAGGTCGTGTTCATTCAGCAAATTGTACTTGTGCAGCTGGGTATGTAGACTTTGCATTTATATAACTACAGTCGTGTCATCTATATCTAGATCGCTGTTTTTTTACAAACAAAACGTTTAAAAACCTTTTCAAAGAAAATATGTTCCAAATATTAAGTTTGATCAAAAGATTTGTAAATTATTAATTCCAAATACCAGCAAAGTAATTGATACATTTTAAAATCTCTTCCTTTGTGGGACCTCTCATTCACTTTTGTTAATTTAAATAAATAAACAGATTATTGATATTGTTGCTTATTAATATGTGACATCTTTAGCTGATTACATTAAAAATAATAATTATTTAGGGTGAAATAGAGGAAACATGACTGTGTCATTTTATATGCATTTGATTGTTATTTCATAATATTAAAGCTAGAGTCCAAATAATATTAATAAATATAACTAATTTTGTTTTTGCAGTGCCGGGGAGGCTTGTAATCATGTATCAGCCCTGCTTCATGCCCTTGCAGACATTAGTCAGAAGAAAAAGGATGGTTTGCTTTCATGCACATCAGTTGAGTGCAAGTGGAAAATTCCCAGAAAAAGGAAGTTGGATCCAATGAAATCGGATGACTTGAACCTGATGTCAAGTGGCAGGAAGAGTCAACAAAAAGGTACTGGGACTACACAAGGTACTGTCGGAATACAGAATGGAACAATCAACAAAAGATCAATGTGTCCCAACAGCAACATGCCACAGACAACAATAAATCTCACAAGATTTAATAAGAAGTTAATTGGTCATGAAACAAAAAGTAAATGTGGATATGTTGTTAATACAACTACTGTTACTCAAGCTCCTGAACCTATGCCAGAACTTCCAAAAATACCATGCATTGATCGTTGTATTCCTGACTATGTTGATATTAAATCGCCAACCTGTCAAACTACCTTTCAAAATTATTTTGATTCCATGAAAGTGTCAGAAAAGGATGTGAGGTCAATAGAGAGAATGACAAGAGGACAACATAAAACAAAGTTTTGGAAGGAAGCCAGATTGGAAAGGATAACAAGTTCACAGTTTGGCAAAGTATTTATCCGACAGACATCTACAGCTCCAGATAGACTTGTATGTGACCTAATGGGATATCGGGGCGAATTTGGTAACAGACATACCAGATGGGGACTTTCACATGAATCGGCAGCAAGGCGGCAGTATATCAACAAAATGGCAGGTCTTCATCCACAGTTGAAAGTGTCTCAGTGTGGACTAATTGTGAATACAGACTACCCTTACCTTGCAACTAGCCCTGATGGACTTGTGTCATGCACAGATTGTAGTACATGTAGTAATCAACATGGCTTAGTAGAGATTAAATGTCCATCTGTTTTCAGAGATCTAACACCAGAAGAGGCTGCATCAAATACAAATTTCTTCTGCCATATTGTGGACAAAAATGTGACTCTAAAAGAAAACCATGCATACTACTTTCAAGTACAAGGACAGATGGCCTTGACCAAAAGAACTTGGTGTGATTTTGTGCTGTGGACTCTCAAAGGGATATCTATTGAAAGGATTACATTTGACGAGAACAAGTGGCATCAGATGGTCACAAGGCTTCGCAGTTTCTATCTGTCAGCCATTATTCCTGAAAAATATACCCTACGTGTCCAGCGAGGTGTTTCACTGTATTAGATTGACCGTTGCACTACCATCTTACCAGTTGTTTTACCCTATGCTCACTCAGTCAATTCAATGTTTCACTCAATACCATATCATATCTTTCTTTGATAGTCATAGATACTTACCATTCAATGGGTGAATTGTTACTTAACGCCGCATTCACGGCGACTGACCATTCAGATAGTATGTCGCTTAGACATAGGATATCTTCTTCTCCTTGTAATTTCTTGAACCATTCTATTAAGCCATAACATATCATAACATATATTCTGTAACGTCTTGAAATGACAACATGGACAACATGATTTAAGAAAATCATCAAGCGTTTATTTCTTTCATTTTTAGTTATTGTCACAAAAATTAGAACCATGGGACTATGATCCTGCTGTCACAGCTAAAACATGAAATTGTTTATGTTCTTATATGAAGATAAACTCACACTCATGAGTACACAAAAAGAACTTTTAGAACGCCAGCTTGTTTCCGTCAACGAATCAGTGAAACTGTTGGAAGATAAAATTATCTCCAAAGCGGATCAACACTCTCAAAACATCATCAACACTGCTTGTCAAGCAGTCAAAGACAGAGAGCACAAGTCCACACATGAAAAATTCAACACCAGATTTGTTAGCCTACAACAGGCGGCTATCAAATCTGACCCCTTCGCCGCCAAACTATACGTGCAAGGGACCCCGACCCAGAAACGGGCCAAATCTCCCAAGTTTCGCCCCTCGAGACAACCATCACGTGATCGAGCTCGTGGACTACGCAGACCACGACAGAACTTCCGCCCCGACAGGGGCAATCAAGGAAACAATTCGCGGGACCTCAAACGGGCCCTAGAGCTGTTGTCGAAACACCTCAACTTCAACAACAACAGTTTGTGCAATAAACTTTCTAATCTGAATCTGAACAATAACTCAGATAATAAAACTGGTGAATCTTATCATGACAACTTTGTTATCAATCTTTCCGATTATGACCTTAATCCATCTGAATAAGAGGTTCTTAACAAGGGACTCACTTTTAGCCCCACCCCTAGATTTACTGACAAAAGTAAAACCTTTTCCGACCTGAAACAATTTTTCAGAAAATTATGTCTCACTCATTTTTTCCATGATTCTTCCATTGATGGCACTTCACACCCGCTCCAAAACACACTGGATCACAAATTCGGTCCCAAAAGCACTTACACCCCTAGACCTTATACCGACCCAACACTAGAGTCGTTTATCAAAGCAGTCTCCAATGATTTTTACAAACTTGGTAATATAAAATTAACATCAGTCTGCTTGTTTACTCTGCTAGTTACTCTGTGTTCATTAGTCATCCACTGGCTTCCAATTAGCTTAATCACCTCTCTGTGTCCATCAACTAGTCACTGTAACAACTTAGATGTCAATAAGTGTATATATACCTATGTTGTTTAGCCCTATCCATCACTTGCTTGATAAAGGTGTTAGGATCTACACCGAAACGTCGCACTAATTGTAATAAAGAAGTTGTTCATCCATAGAACTTGTCTTACTTCAGGACAGTACTACACTACCCACCCACCCACCAAACCGCAAATTAGCGGCAAGGTAGTCAACTTCGTAAATGAGAGTTGCAAAAGAGAAGGATGCAAAATCTGCAACTCCTTAGGTAAAACACATACGTTTCGCAGCTCGACATTAGGCAAAACATTCAAAATCCACAAGTTTGAATGTACAAGTAAAAACATAGTTTACTTGCTAACTTGTAACAAATGCAAGAAACAATACGTTTGAGAATCCAAAAGAGAATTTCAGACTAGACTGAAAGAACACTTTGCAGACATCAGCTACAAGAGAGACAAACCTGTAGCTAATCACTTCAATAGTGATGATCACAGCACCAAAGATGTTAGATATAACATCATAGCACAGCTCAAGGAAAACCCTGAGTCTACTGACACCACAGTTAAGAGGAGAGCACTTGAACTGAGGTGGATATTTGAGCTAAAAACGTTCCACCCGCACGGTCTCAATGACAGAATGGTTGGCTGATTAATTTTCCCCCTTTGGTCAACTTGCTACTTATATGAAGAGTCAGGATTTCTATATCAATGCTTTGATTCAATAAGTAAAACAAAAATAGACAACCAGTAGGTGGTAATGTCAATAGTCATATTGGACAAAAATAGACTTATTTGTCTAGACTTATTTGGCTCAATGTTTTCAATACAAAATTGTTATCATGATACCATGATTATTAAGTTTAAATACAGCAGAAAATATCATGTGACCATTCACATCTGGAGCTGCAATAAGATTATGCTAATCCTACTAATTACAGAGCAAGCAAGGAACTGTCATCAAAGAAGTAATTGTCATCAATTTCTTGGTCATGAGGATAAAGAGGGGGAAGCAGAGTAGTCAAAGCATTACAGATTTTCCAGATTTTGTTTACAGATTTTGAAATTGTAATTGGAATTATACCCTGCAAAATTCTGAAATTCTTGACACGTTCCATGTGCCTTTCAACATGGATTCTCAAGTTCGCTATTCTCCTAGTTTGTTCAATTTCTACAGCAGTCAGCTGTTTTCTCTTATGTTTCTTTGGTGGAATTATTAAGAGTATACCTCTTGGTGTTGTCAAGTCTGAGATTGTAAATCCCTTATCCGCCATGATTGCATCACCTACATCACACAAATCTAAAAGTCCGGATTCTACTGTTATTTGCCGGTCACTTATAGCTCCTGACCACAAGTCAGAGACAAAGCTAACAACACCATTTGGAGTGACACCAACAAGCGCTTTAAATGTTATGTGACTTTTATAATGACTGTACATTTGTGACTGTTTACCAATAGAGTAAGGTTTTTCTGTAAATAATTCTGTACAATCTATAACAACCCTTGTATTTGGATACAGATCTTTAAAACCTTGAGGCATAGTTGTATTAATAGTATCCATTGATGGCCAGACAACTAGGAAGGATAAATTGTTGTACAAAATATCAATCCATCTATTAATGACATCAGCACAGCAGCTTCTGGAAATATGAAATCGCTTTGATAAATCAACAACTAGGAGTCCAAGTCTAAGACGCATCAACACTAGAAAGAACTCGTCTATCAAAGACAAAGATTTAGGGCGTCCGATATTGGATGTTGGATAGTCCCTGTCATGAACCTCAGAAAACTCGTCAAATAAACATGAAAACTTTTCTGCATCCACAAGACCTGTATAATAGGTTACCAATTCTGAATCATTCTTCACATCAAAAAATGTTAAATCAGGAAGTTTGACTTGAGTGGCTTGATTGCGAAAGACTTTTTTATTTTCAGTCTCAGTCTGAGTCATTGCACAGGATGTTTTCACAGGATTTAAACACTGGAACATTACATCGTCAGTTTGAGTAGACATGCTTCTAACTTCCACCATTTCTGTTTGCGATGATCCATATCTCATGCAACTGATGTCGTCTTCACACACAGCCTCACAGTAGTCATGCAGCATAATTGATGCAACGTCATAGGATCTGTCAAAATAATAAATAGCTTTTCATCACATTAAATATATAGTTTTTCCCCGATATTTTGAGGTTAAAGGAATTAAAATTAATAAAAAATAAATTAACATAAATCTGTTAATACAAAAGCTAATATAAGAAGTGTATTATCAAGTTTATTGGTCAATGCTCTATTATATTTTATGCTCTCTATATATATTTTATGCTCTTTATATTTTATTGTTCTGTAAGTAAGAGAGACTACACCATGATTTTTATATTTTGTCTTGTTAAGCATAACTTCTCATAATAATCAACAAATTCAAAAAAGAGAAAAAACTTATGTTCCCGCTGTACCTGGCACCTTGACTGAATGTTGTGGAATGATGTTCAATTTCATCAGACTGAGGAGTCCCTCCATGTACCTGCAAAGTCACTTTGGGAGATTCAGGGTCACAGGCCTGCTTGAATGGGCTTTCATTTGGCTTCGAGGTATCAACAAAGTCAGCATCAGACACCTGCAACAAATTATCAACAGACACTGAGACATTTTTTTTCTATTTATTCAAACAAATAAGATGAAAGAGAGGATACATAAAATTTTAAGATCAACACAACTTGAAACGTTTTTGTTTGTTTTTTTCATTTCAAGTTTTAATCATAGCACTTTTTTCACAATCACATAACATTCACAAACGATAAAACCCATTAAATACACCAACAATAGCATAAATCTTATAAGAATCAACATAACTCACTGTGCAAGTACTGTAATTTTTCTTCGGAAAAATCGATGGAACATCATGCCCTATGCCTGGACCGTTACCACCCACGAAATGTTCTGAGCATATTTCCGTGTGCTTGGTCACTGTGAGGTCTTTTCTCACTAACCGAAGTCGCCTTATCCACGCTTGTCGTAGGGACTTGCTTACTGGAATGACGTGTAGAGATACTATTCTTTCACCGACTATCTTTCCCCTAAAATTGCTACAAATACAGCAGTATTGCTTCCCCATTTTGACAGCTTCGAAGCAGCGCGCTGTTTTCGACGGAAGTTGACAGTACTCGGCGGAAGTTCATCCAGCCAATTGAAGAGTTCCAACTCAAGACGGATAACTCTCATTGAACTTGACTTTTCGGAAAGTCGAATACTGTTTACCATCCTAGCATAAATGCTTTTCTCATCTGCAGTTTTTAACATTAGGACACTACATTTAGGCACAAAAAAAAGAGTATTTTAATATATAAAAGGCAGTGACTACGTTTTCAGAACACGGATGTTGATTTTGTAAAAGGTCTCTGATCATATGCGCGATAGTCCAGAAAAGGGGACATAACTCAGCTATGCTCTGCACTAATTCATTGTAATTCACCTCACTTGGTGAAAATTTGCTGTGGCTAAGGACAACATATATTTGTAATGCTTTGTTCACGAGGAACCAAACTATTCCAACGCAAATATCAATATTGTGACTCTACTTGTTTAGGTATTAACACACGAAATAAGGAAATCGTACTACATAAAAAGGAAGTAATAGTCAAATGGATGACCTCATCAATCATGTAAATTTGTCCTTAGAGTCCCACATTTGCCTGATTGTGTAAGTGCAATTTAACAAGTGTTGATGAATGGAGTACTAGCCTTATCATCAAATGCAATGAATTACTAATATTTTGACACCTTTTTGGCGTCATGGCTTATTGTATGTCTTTGGCGACGTCCGCGAAGAAAGACGACATTGATACGATGATGCAAATAATGTCTTGAATATAGAACGAAAGATGTGAAAATGCTTCTTCTTGTATGGAATTATCATGGCAGTTTATATTCATTTTTAACAATTCATGTAAAAATGAAGTAAACAGAGAATATCCTGTGATCACAATATATAAAAAGGTTGAAATAATTGAAAATATTATACAAAATTCGTTAATCGTTTGTAGCTAACGCGCAGCTGATGAATCGTTATACAGTGCATCAATAGTCTGTCAATCAAACGGTCAAAACAATTCCAAGACAAAGACAATTCACCCTACAAATGGTTGCATATATATTTCATAGAAATACTTTCAGTTTGTTGTTGGGAAGAAATGAAATGGCTATTCACTGATACAATTTTGAATATTACCCTCCAAAGGGAAGACGTACATTTTGCAGTTACATTTACATTTCATCTTCTAACAATTGTCTAAAGTTAAGACATTTTAACTGGTATGTAAATGATGTTCAAACGAAGGTTTATTCATTGTGTGGCCTAGATCTACGTAATATGTGATACTGAACATTGCTAAATATCCATAGTGTAATTCATTGCGTGAAAAAAGACACAAAAGGTGCGCACAATCTACATCATGATTGATACTGTAAGCAGCAGGATAGATTAGACATCATGTTGTTGTTGTTGTTGTGTTTTTTTAATGCCGCACTCAGCAATATTCGAGCTATATGACGGCGCTCTGTTAATAATCGAGTCTGGACCAGACAATCCAGTGATTGATGTCATGAGCATCGATCCACACGATTTGGATACGATAACATGCATCAACCTAGTCAGCGAGCCTGACCAAACGATCCCGTTAGTCGCCTTTTACGGCAAGCATGATCTGCTGAAGACCTATTCTACCCTGGAACATCACGGGAATAGACATCATAAACTAGCCCAAGCGTATGAATATAATATTTCACTGTCGTGTGTAAACAGGCAGACATCTACGCGATCCGCAACAGAAAAATAGAACACATCAAAAGTTGACACGTATTAATTTAATACCATACAACAGCCTACCTTTACGCCTCCGTTACACTACAAAAAAATTCAATCAAAAGCTTGGTCAAAGTCTATTTGGACATACCGTCATAAACTTTGACAATGTTTTTACGAACTTTGTTGGAAGAGAAAGCAATCCTATTTCTCCTTAAACGTTGATGGCCTCTGATGTAATTTAGCCAAAATCAGAAAGCAATAAAAAACCCAGTTTCGTATGGTCTCACATTCACGGCGATTAAATTGTTTGAGTCCACTAGTCCTTATAGTGATAACCCATAGCAAAACCCTTAACAGCAAATTTCCCAAATTTCTAATGGTCCTTATAACACCCTACATATAAGGCAGTTTGGTAAGTACCATATGACTATGGGCGGTCGGGTAGCCTAATGGTTAAAGCGTTTGCTCGTCACGCCGAAGACCCGGGTCGAATCCCGACATAGGTACAATGTGTGAAGTCCCCCGCCGTTATATTGCTGCAATTTTGTTTAAAGCGGCGTTAAACCATACTCAAAAACTAACTACTATATGACTAAAATCAGACTTACAATCTGAACGTGCCCCTGTTCCGTCTCAGATAATTGACACAGACACTGGCGTCCTCTCCATACAACGTTTGGAGAAGAAGAGTTTAACTAGGGTTAATTTTTAGTGTTTATATATAAGTCAGGGCACCGTTTCACAAAGCGATGTTAGCGCTCGGATTATCGTAAGCCAGTGTTAAAGTATGGGAGTTGCGATCACCTCAGAAGGCTTTGTTTACAGTTTACAAACCCTATGACGTAAATTGTTAAAGTGAAACAATGTCTGTGACGCCAGCCAAGCAACATGGCTGCTGGGGTCATCGAGTGTTCAGAGTTTTCAATATTTATCAATAATTTGTCAACTAGCTCAACCGTCTTATTGTCATTAAACAATGGTATCTTCAACGGCCGGGTGCATTTCTAACATTCGTGATATTTTATATAGATATACTAAAGCAACGACACAAAAGCCTTAAATTTGGTCAGAACACATGGAACCCAATGTGCCCTAGCATGCTTGAGATACACAACTTAGTATGGGGTTTACTTTTAAAATTAATGGTTTGCATAGCATTCTTTACATAGACCACAGTACATGTCCAACATCGACACACTAACTTTTCTTCGAGAGCGTCTTTCCTTTTCCATGCGTCACACTTAGGGCCGCCATCAAAACACAGAAAAGCGCTAAAGTCCTCATACTATAATTAAAACAAACATTTAGTTATTAGCAATGCATGGTACAGAATGGAAAGTGTTGTGCACGTATACTATGTTTTAGCCGAACCTTCACCTTGCGCACACATGTCAAATAACTAATGACGGTCACTTCCAGAAACCATACGGCGCGGCAAGATCAGTCACATGGACGTTTACGTTAACGCAGGGCCGATAATTGTCACAAAAAACAACAATGTAAATATCAAGATTGTATATATTGTTTGTATATGTTAGTAGGGCAAAAGTTACTTTACTCTACAATGATCGCATACACAGCAAATCTGTGTAACTTATAAACACACACACACACACACACACACACACACACACATATATATATATATATATATATATATATATATATATATATATCTGGTGATAGTAGTAGGTACTACTAGGCATTCAGTTTTTTGCAAACAAAACATGGCGTCGCCCTGGTCAAAACCATCCTGAATCTAGAGAAACTAGGCCTACTGGGGTATGCACTGAACATTATCATTATCAATACAATGGTAATAACGTACTGAAAATCAGTGTCGAAGTGGGACGTAGCTGAGGCATTTTACATGTTTGGGCAACTTGGAGACCTCTGCGGCTTGGGGCGGCTTCCTCAATATTTAAAACAGTTGGAGTTTGCCGAATATTGTAACCTTGTTTCATTTTGTACATCTTACTCTGCACTTCGTGACGTGTGACAGGACAGGAAGACCAAACAAACGTGACGTCCAATAGACTAGGGTAAGAGTAGCTTGACTAACTTCCCTTTGATAAAGGGCAGTGTACTCTTGAGGTCGGGTTGTATTCATTTAAACATAAACCTAATTAATAACCACGACAATCAAAACAGCAGTCAAGGTTCAATTGGACAATCTACCTGTGATGATAGCAGATGATGACGGACGCCGTCTCTTCTTCCCACGCGTCGCAGCGCTTCCTGAACCCGTAACCGGTAACAAGTATGACGTAGATCCTATCTGGCAACCAATCAGCGTTTAGACCTCCATCCACGTAGCGGGAGTGTGCTCGCGCTTGCCTAATATAAGGAGTCTAGTCGTCTAATAGGCTCAGTGTACAGCGTAGCTGCAGTTAACTCGGATGTAGATAAGGGTGCTTTTGTACAAAGCGATCTTACTGCTAAGGTGATCGTAACTCCATGACCTTAACATAGACTGACGACAGTCGAGGCGCTAAGGTTGTTTTGTACAACGACACGGACGTGTAGAAGCCAGAACTTAGCGCGGTACACGGATAGAGGAATCAGGGCCATGTTTCGATAGCTAACAAAGTTCAGAAAATTGTTTTCACTTTGGTACAGCTCCGATCATGTGATCTATTCGAGTCGAGTTTAACTGACAAGCGTTATCGCCCCCTCGGGATTAAACTATCACTAGTCCAGTTTCGTGGTATGTTTTATACTGCTAATCACTCAGGCATATTGCTTTGACGTCTGTTTGTTATATTTCTAGTCATTTCAAATAAGTAGTTAACTTTGAATTTGGTCATTTATTGTTTTCCTACTACCCGTAGTCATTGTTCGAAAGTCACACGACCCGTGAACACCCGGGTCTCCATGCAGTTTAACCCATGCTTGTCGTAAGAGCCGTCTATGCTTGTCGTAAGAGCCGTCTATGCTTGTCGTAAGAGCCGTCTATGCTTGTCGTAAGAGCCGTTTATGCTTGTCGTAAGAGGCGACTAACGGGATCGGGTGGCCAGGGCTCACTGACTTGGATGATGCATGTCAGCGATTTCAATTGCGTGGATCGATGTTCATGATGTCAATCACTGGATTGTATGGTCCAGATTCGATTATTTACAGACCGCTGTCATATAGCTGGAATATTGCTGAGTGCGGCGTCAAAAAACAAACCAATAATCCAAAAAAAAGGAGTCTAAGTATGATTTAAGTTAAATTACAGGGAAAATATAGAAAAAATATAGCACATAAAGAATATTTTACGTGAAACATTTATTTTTGAAGGATGAATCTGCATACCAAATACGATTTATGGCGGCTCCACATTACTCATTACAAACAGATAAACAAACATCAGCCTTGATTATTCAGTGTATGAAAGATCCATTCTATTCTATATAGCATAATAATACTAAAAAAGAAGCATGGATCATGAATATTTTTTCGGTATATTTATGAAATTGAGTACTCGCGGTCTTCACTAGAGAAAAAATATTCATGATCTAACCTTTTTTGTTCAGCACACTCTTTTTAGCGGTACCTTTCCTGATATATCATCTAAGATCAACTCTTCGATATCCACTCGCAGGAACCACGACCATGTTTTCTGGATCAGTTCAGAAAGAAACAATTTATAGTAAAATATACATCTTCAATAAGGGACTGGTAATTTATTACTGGGGGCGGGGGAGGTGGGGGAGGTGGGGGCAGAAGTAGAACTGTCATTTTTTCTCAGTCTTCTTTTTTTCAAGTCCAATTCTAGCCTCTGCGCCCCCAACAAGGATATCAAATGGGAGGTCCCTTATACTTAACGGGGTGGTGAGGTAGCCTAGTGGTTAAAGTGTTCACTCGTTACGCCAAAGGCCCGGGCGCGATTCCACTAAGATATGGTTTGAATGAGATTGGCCCTGTCGTGTCGTGGGAATATTGCTAAAGATGGCATAAACGAACACACTCGCCTTGAAGAGCAAAATCCAGAAGGGCGGGTTGAACCGGGGGCTTCCGTGGCAAATTTAACTGAAATGATTCACTGACTGAAACACATAATACACAGGTCCCAACTTTTTACGTTTATTTTACCCAACTATGGGCGCCGATAGCGTCGTGTGCTTGCTACCGGATGATTCTGAGATGTCGTAGGCCGACGAGGGAGAGGTTTTTGTCACGGATGAAGTCGCCAGCTCGAAACATGCACCTGTATGTAGCAGAGTTGTGAATGTTGTGAGATGAGATGAAATGGGGGTTTAACATAACGTTCAAAATTTTTGCGCTTATTCAGCGACGTGCATGCTTATGTTATGCGTGTGGCTGTTTGTACTAATAGTATTAAGTTATCGTTAAAACACGACTCCAGTGTTTTGATTGAAAATGTTAAGCCCCTATCTCACATACACGATTGAGGAAATTTCGAACACGATTTAAGAAAAGTTGAAAAATCGTGTTGATTCGTGCTCGACCTTGTGGTTTATGCAAATATCTAAACCAAACACGGCCCTCATACGACCTTCATACGACTGAACACGACACTCATACGACCGTTATAAGATATTCATACGATACAACACGATTTAACCTCATTTAACACAACCCCAATACGACCGTCATACGACCAAACACGATCGCCATACGATTAAACCCGAATCATTACGATGTCCATACGACTACAAAAATAAACACGATCTCCATACGACTGAGCAAGACCTTCATACGACATATTTTTGTTTATTTTGGTCACGTGGGTCATGTAGTATATAAGCTGCATTGCAACAACATTTCTGTGTCAGTCTTCACCATGTTCAACAACGAACAAGACCCGGTTCATCTTGTCCCTGGGTACCGGGTGGATATAACACGATTTAAGCCGAACTGCAACGTCCATACGACCGCGCGGGATCGACCACGACTTAACACGAATGAACACGAATGAGTGCGCGACCTTCATACGTTCTAACACGATTTAAGGAAAAACGTTAAATCGTCTTCATTCGTGTTCAGATTCCTGAATGTGAGATAGGAGCTTTCAACATCAAGCGCGAGAAAAGCTCCAAGGGCCGCGAGGGCTTTTCGTAAACACAAGATGTTACATTTTCACCGAAAACCGATCGCGAGGATGAGTGTTTCAATCAACGTATGAACTGTCTAAATGCAAGATAATACTAGAAGAATAAGAGTGACTGAGTTAAAAATTTATGGTAGCCTCGGAAATAAGAAATGATCAGGATACCTTATAGTGAAACAGGGGCGGTCGGGTAGCCTAGTGGTTAAAGCGTTCGCTCGTCACGCCGAAGACCCGGGTTCGATTCCCACATGGGTACAATGTGTGAAGCCCATTTCTGGGGTCCCCCGCCGTGATATGGCTAAGAGAGGCGTAAAACCATAGTCAGTCAGTATAGTGAAACAATAAAGTAGTCACAGTAGAAAACGAATTTGACGACAACGGGCGAGAGAAAGATCAGCTGCAGCATGCAAACAACTGAAGTCATGATATGTAAGATTGAACACCCTTTCACCACCTGCCCCGCCTGTGTCTCAGTGGGAAAAGAGTGGGTTACAATACTAAACATCGTATGTGAGGCAGAAATTTTCATGTGAAAACACTTGGGACTCTTAAACAGTCAAAAATCAACATTGGATGCATATTAAAAGGTCTCACTTCAAAAAGGTTCCTCTCACAAGGTTACTAAACTACCGGGCAAAAGAAAGTTTTCACCGACTTCACTTGACCAAACGCCAAAAACAAAGGCATATGTGAGATTTATGATGATTAATTTATAAACAGAAATCATTTTCCATGACTTAGACTGAAAATGCATTGTAATGCCGATATTGCATTCTCCGCAATACACAAAGAGAGAGAGTCAAGGGGTCCAAATTAAAAATTACACAAATCAGAGTTCATTGTAAAAGTGCATGAAGAGTCCATTAATGAGTGAGTAAGTGAGGTTTTACGCCGCTTTTAGCAATATTCCAGCAATATCACGGCGGGGGACACCAGAAATGGGCTTCACACATTGTACCCATGTCGGGAATCGAACCCGGGTCTTCGGCGTGACGAGCGAACGCTTTAACCACTAGGCTACCCGACCGCCCCCTGTCCATTAATGACACAGTAGTCAGGTAACACGTCATCAATAGCGAGTGTGACCACCCTGGGCATCCATGCACGCCAACACATGCCTCCTCATTGACATCGTCAGTCGGCGGATAACATCAACAGGAATTCTGTTCCATAAGTTCAATAGAGTCTGTTCAAGTTCCTGTCGGTTCGCTGGAGGCGGTACATGTCTCAGCTGACGATCAAGATAATCCCAGAGATGTTCAATGAGGTTCATGTCTGGAGAACAAGGTGGCCAGGGCAATACGTTGACGTTAACGTTGTTCAGGTAGTCTTGAACTATTCGGGCGGTGTGGCGATGGGCCTTGCGTTGTCTTGTTGCAAAATCCTCTTGGCTGATGTTGAATAAAGGGCACCACAACAGGTCTCAACACTTCATCCCTGTATCGCTGAGCATTCAGGTTTCCTCGGATGATAACCATCCGTGTTGTAATCTGGCCACAAATGCCACCCCATACCATGACGCCTCCACCTCCAAACGGGTGAACTTCTCTAATGCAGTTTGGCGCCAGTCGCTCTCCCCTTCGTCGAAAAACTCGAACTCTGCCATCGTTCCTGAACAGACAGAACCGACTTTCATCCGTAAAGAGCACTCTCGCCCAGTGACGTCGCTGCCACCGACGTACAGTTCGTGCCCATTGCAGTCTGCGTTGACGGTGTAGACGAGTCAAGGCCATTCCTCGGAAGGGTCGGTAGGCTCGTATACCAGCCGTACGAAGTCGTCGAAGGACTGTTCGTCTGCTGATGGCATGCCCAAGTGCTGTTGCCGCCGTTGACGTCGCCGTCACACATCTGTTTCGGAGGTGAATCTGCCAAACGTAGCGGTCTTCGGTCGGTGTTGTCACTCTCAATCTTCCCGATCTTGGCCGGTCTTGAGTCTGTCCTGTCTATTGGTAGCGGATTATCAACTTGCTGATGGTGGTCTGGGAGCAGTTGAAGGTTCTGACTATCTGACGTTGAGTAGCCCCTATATTGGCCATACCGATCGCTGTCTCGTTGCGCTTGTGTAAGTCTGGGCATCTTCTTGGTGGTTTTTTGCTTACTGAATGCCTGCTCTGTCCAACGTCGGTATTTATGCCACAATAACGCACGTGCATTTGGACCAATGTCTCAAAATCACGTTTTGCACGTTTTCAACAATGCATGATTTGGAAAGCTGCGTTGTGGTTGTGGTCATGGTCATGTTGCATTTGGGCGAATGTTTTCTGCGAGGGTTCAAACCTGTACCAGCTTTTTTGCTTTTTATACAACTATTAAATTTTAAAGTGAAAACTTTCTTTTGCCCGGTAGTTTATGAGATAGACCGCCCCCGGAGAGCGGAAGGTCTGGGATTCGATCCCCGGCCGTGTCATACCAAAAGACGTTAAAAGATGGTGCTTGTTGTTACCCTGTCTGACGCTCGGCATTAAGGGGGTAAAACAAGGACTGGTCGGCTCGGAGACAGTATGCTGTGTCTGAGTGGGGTATTCATGTTAACCTGCGGCATGGTATCTCTGGGGGCTAGCACTAAATCGGCCAGAATTAGTACAAGCAGCCACACACACATGGGTGCATGCACGTCACTATATAAATGCAATAGTCTTGGACGCGACGTTAACCCCATCTCACCTGTTTAACGCCACACTCAGCAATATACTCTAGCTGTATGACGGTGGTGATTTGACACGTAAGTGGGTAGGGGTATAACGTTTGCTGGGATTGCTGTTATGCCTGCCACATGCATCATATTCGGGGTGCCTCTCGGATCCTGGTACGGGTGAGGGACTGAACTATATGCACAGCTAGTGGGCTAGCACTACAAATCGGCATCAGTCCGGACTAGTACAAACAGCCACACACACGTGCATTCACGTAGCTATATAAGTGCCATAATCTTGGACGTGACGTTAAACCCAATTTCCCCATATGAGGTAGCAAGGTACCTATAGTACAATACTATATAGACAACAGTGTCAGTAGGCATGTAAGCTAGTTTTATCATGCTAGCCCAGTAAAATGCCATGCGGCAGTTTGAAGATACCCCACTCAGACACAGCTATACTAAGAATCGACGAACCCTTGTCATCCTCTTATAATTAAGTGCTGAGCGCCAGGCAGGGTACAACTATAGAGCGATTTTTAAACTGGTATTTTGCTATGAAGCGGCCAAAGGATCAAACCACAGACCTTCCGCTCTCCGGGCAGAGGCTATATCAACTAGACCACGGAAACAGTCTGAATATTGTGAAGCAGTCTTTTAGCGTTACATTGTCAACATGACAAATGTGTGAGTGAGTTGGTTTAACTCTGTTTTGAACATTATTTTAGTTATAGCACGGTTGCCGCGGCGGCAGGAAAGCCAAGTGACCGTGGCCATGCATTGTATACCTTTGGTAGAACTCACGGCATGAGCGACAGAGGATAATACTCATGTCGAATCAAGATAAAACATTTGGAAGCACTACCAGCAATACCTCTATGCATGCAAGGGGAAGAATAGGTTTTCAGCAACCCATGTTTGCCGTTATAGGCGAATATGCTTGTCGTAAGAGGCAACTAACAGGATCGGTTGGTCAGGCTGCTGACTTTGATGATGCATGTCATCGTATCTCAATTGTGTAGATCGATACTTATGATTTTAAGTCACTGGATTGTCTGGTCCAGACTCGATTATTTACAGACCGCCGTCATATAGCTGGAATATTGCAGAGTGCGGCATTAAACAACAAACAAACAAATATATGCATGCAAGACGATCTGAAGACGGACGATCTAATCAGCCAATCAGCGTCGATGCTCTTTCCAAATTCTCGATACTTGTGAGCGAAAATTCAAAACAACATCTCTGGTTTATTCGTCTCGAAGTAGAACAAAAACGACAAGTTCCAACAGTAGAAATATAAGGCTGCGCCGTTATATTGTTGTTAATAGTTGGCTGGATACGTCCTGACTGAGATGATAATGAATTTTCCATCGTACCTGAATTTGATGAATGCAGGACAATTTGCTCCACCGTAGGTCCTCGCCGTTGCGGCGCCGACATGTGTCGTCTGCTCGAACAAGGCAAAGAGGTAGAGCTGATTCAACGTTGACGTCATGGGAAGAAGCCAGTCATACACCTCGTCACCAGAAGTGATGTCAGTACCCCGGATGTTGACGACCATCCAATGAATATAGGAGTTCTGTTTGGTCTTTCCCAGCTCGGGGGTCGGGTCCAGCATCAACAGGGTGTACTGCTTGTCTGAAAAGAATCAACTACTCATGGCAACCGATTTCTAATGTTTGGCGCTACGCATGCTAATATGCTACTCATGACATGACATGACATGACAGATTTACTATAGCATCATGACCGAATCGGGTGGTCCTTAACTTCTTTTGAGCAGTTGTTTTAAACAGGAAGTTTGGCTTTGCAAATCTATACACACCTCGACGCAACGTGCACGAACCCTCTACAGGAACAGATCCAGGATTTTGAAAAAAAAGGTGCACATACTATCCAAGTCACGAAGTGACTAAACCCAGAGGACAGATCTCGTGAAATGTGCGCATGTGACATGCTAATTTATAGTCATATTTAATCCTATAAACCCATTTCCATTTATGATATAGAACAATATTCCAAGGAACTGTTTCACTCACCTTTCAGTGTGACAGAGGGGGATCATAACGGATCTCCATGGGAACCAGAGTGACCTTGGGGGAGATTCGAGTCTGAACGGAGCCTAACAGCTTCAAGCTCTGGTAATCTAACGTGATGTTTACAGGTCTGGAACAGAGGTGTAGGATCTAGGTATTGTTTTCATGTTGATCTATACTGTCATATATGTGTTTAGAATGTAAACATTGACGAAACATGTTTAGATCTAAACACGAATAGGATATGTTTACATCCTTAACTGAAAACCCATATAGTGTGTTCTATCAAAACGCATTTAGGTCTAAACACTTGAAATGAACTATCGTCTCACAGCCTAAACACCACCTAAACACTCCCCATTATCTAAACATGTTCAGACATTTAAACACGATTGTTTCGAACTTATACCTATTTCAATAAAGTTCATATCATAAGCCAATAAGTCAAATATTGATTAGATGTATAAAATATATATGAGCGAGAGGAATTCTGTATGAAGTGAGTGAATTGGGTTTAACACCGCTTTGAAGGTTCACGGCATGTCAGCTTGATGTGGGGGGAAGTCCGAAGTGATGCAGGTCTGTGATGTTTACCACATGGATATGCTGCTGACAAACCTAGAAACATTATTGGGGCGAACCGGGATCTAAACCCAATCATAGATTTCTGGCGTGCCCAAGGGACGCAACTCTGCACAGTGAATTGTGGCGCCTCGAACGATTTGGCCACCGCCCTCTTCCGCGTGAAGAGTGATGAGAAAGATCGAGAGAGTAATAAAACTCTTAACAAAACTGTAGTGCCGAAAGGGTATTTGCCGTCTTTCTTTGTTGTCAATTTGTTGTTTAACGCCGTACTGGGCAATATTCCAGCTATTTTACGGCGGACTGTATAGTGTCCAGTCAGAACAGACAATCCAGTGATGGACACTGTGGGCAACGCTCCACGCCATCGTGATAAGCGAGTCTGATCAGCTGTTCCCGTTAGACGTATCTTACAGCGAGCCATATACTGCGAACCTGTTCTAACCTGGGTTATTTATTGTATGTTGGATTAAAACATGGACGGCCAGCACCGAACATGACCAGTATCTGACAATATGTTTCACAACGGGTAAGTTATGACGGGTACCTGGAAGTACCTTCCCACTTAAACACACACATGCTGCCACCTGGCGTTTGTGATAACGGCCGGGGACCTACCCTTTTGAGTACAGTATGTCACATGACCTGTAGGTTATGACTGGGGCAGAAAAGCTGACGTCAACAGAGACAGTTAGATGGAGGGTTAACGACAGGGATGGCACTCCGCCTCGTTGCCTGATATAGCTTGTTAACCCTGAAACGTGAGAAATGGATTATTTGGGGATAATCTAATAGCAATATTTTTTCATTTACACTTTCTGATATTCATATGTAACTTGGATTGACGGTGGCTAGAAGGATAAAAAAGAGCCTCAGTTGCGTCATGCAAATCGGATACATGATACAAAATCAGTTCCCTGACCCAACACACAGTTACCTGATACGAACACCGTCCCCCAATCACTACGCCTTAGTTACGTGATACGAACATCATCCCCCAATCACTACGACTCAGTTAAGTGATGCGATCGCCGTCCCCCAATCACTACGACTCAGTTACGTGATACGAACATCGTCCCCCAATCACTGTACGACTTAGTTAAGTGATACGAAAACCGACCCCAAATCACTACGACTCAGTTAAGTGATGCGATCACCGTCCCCTAATCACTACAACTGAGTATCGTCCCCCAATCACCACGAACACCGTCCACAAATCACTACGACTCAGTTACGTGATGCGATCACCGTCCCCCAATCACTACGAACTCTGTCCCCCAATCACTACGACTCAGTTACGTGATACGACCACCGTCCCCCAATCACTACGAACATCGTCCCCCAATCACTACGACTCAGTTACGTGATACGATCACCGTCCCCCAATCACTACGACTCAGTTACGTGATACGATCACCGTCCCCTAATCACAACGACTCAGTTACGTTATACGATCACCGTCCCCCAATCACTACGACTGAGTTACGTTATACGATCACCGTCCCCTAATCACTACGACTCAGTTACGTGATACGATCACCGTCCCCTAATCACTACGACTCAGTTACGTTATACGATCACCGTCCCCCAATCACTGCGACTGAGTTACGTTATACGATCACCGTCCCCTAATCACTACGACTGAGTTAAGTGATACGAACATCGTCCCCCAATCACGTATGTCCTCCGATCTTTGTGTGGCGGTAGCAAGCAATAAGATCTAACTTTAATGAGATTGTTACACAATTCTGAAACCAGATGTTCCGGGTTATCACATCCATGTTCCGCCTCGTCTTACGGGTTTTTGAAGAATCTAAGACAGCTTACATTTGCCGTAGTAGCCTGGACACTGGTTGAGATATCCCAGCCTCCTGATGTAGACGGCAGCGTACTCGTCTGTGTTGGCCCGGAATGTGTTGAAGCCGTACGACTTTGCTGACAACATAAAAACAGTTTGATAGTATTTTCTGACAGTCCATCGTCAATCATTCTCAGTTTATTTTTCGATATATGTGTAATGCGGAAGAGTATCTCATCTCGTACACCATTTGAGGTCTGCCTCCATGGGTATCCCCGTGCATTACCTTCGTCAGCAGTCACCGCCCTTGGCAATCACTTCACTTGACATTAGAGTACAACTCATGGCAAAGGAGTACACCAGCAACCCACGTCAAACAGGACTACCTCATATATTAACGTGACATTGGAGTACACAATCGACTCCCGTACATCGCGATACAGGAGGACACCCAAACCCGCGTGACACAGGCACACACCACCGACTGACTTGACACAAGACACCACAATCCACGTGACATAAAAGTCCACTCACGCGACACAGAAATACACCACCACCCACGTGACACCGAAATACACCACCACCCACGTGACACAGAAATACAGCACCACCCACGTGACACAGAAATACACCACCAACCACGTGACACAGAAATACACCCCCACCACCCACGTGACACACCACCAACGTGACACAGGAGTGCACTCACGTGACACAGAAATACACCAGCACCCACGCGACACAGAAATACAGCACCACCCACGTGACACAGGAGTACACTCTCGTGACACAGAAATACACCACCACCCACGTGACACAGAAATACAGCACCACCCACGCGACACAGAAATACATCACCACCCATGTGACACAGGAGTACACTCTCGTGACACAGGAGTACACCACCAACCACGTGACACAGGAGTACACTCACGCGACACACACACACCACCCTACACGTGACACAGGAGTACAAAATCACTCACGAGGCTCAGAAGTACATCAGGGCCCACGTGACACAGTACAGCATCACCCATGTGACAGAAGTACACCTCCGACTCACTTGACAGAGCTAGGAGAGAGATTACATCTTCCATATACACAGAATAGTCAATATCGAAGAGCGTGGCGAAGATGTTGTTGACGGTGGTCACGTTGAGTGTCGTCTGCTGCTTCAGCACGAGCCACACGTAGGGGCTGTCCCTGTTCACGGGGATCCTCGGGCCGGCATAGGGAGCGATCACCTGGATACATTGTACACTTTATGTACACAAGATACAATGTACACAACTCTTGAACACACGCTTGATTACCCCAAGGCCCACTTACGCACTAACCGTGAAGATCCGGGGTAGAATAGCCTCCAGCAACCCATGCTTGCCGTAAAAGGCGACTATGCTTGTCGTAACAGGCGACTAACGGTGGGATCGGGTGGTCAGGCTGGCTCACTTGGTTGATGTCATCGTAACCCAACTGCATGGATCGCTGCTCATGATGTCAATCACTGGATTGTCTGGTCCAGACTCTAATATTTACAGACCGCCGTCATTAAGCTGGAATATTGCTGAGTGCAGCGTAAAACACCAAACAAACAAACACTTACACAAAACGGTCTTAGCTACGACCCCCCCCCCCCCCTTAAACAGCCGCATGGCCCGAAATAAAGCTAGTTTAGATTTTCCTTGAGTTCTGAATCTTCCATGTAAATGGCGCTCCTTTTCTATTTAAATGTACTTGCTTGTTTCTATCAAAATCATAACATAACAAACCTAACATAGGACTTGCCTTGGGTCTTCAAGACACCCCTATTGGAAACACAAGAGCCAGGTTACTGATGGCGAACATGGACATTCCGCCCCCATGCAGGAGCAGTATGCAGAGGACCTCTAACAAGGTGGCTATTGCTGTTACTGAACCGAATACACAGGATATGGCTGAAAAAGTTGAATTGGTAAAGGAAGTTAATCTGAAGAGGGGTACTGAGCCATGCGAGATGAATATTGCCATGGATGGCCGATACAACTCAACGACAATAGCAAGCAGGAAGAAGCCTAGGGCAGAATGCATCACAAGCAATCGGCATAGCCTGCGAAACTATTACCGATAAGAAGTTCATCATCGGCGCGTCATTCCAGAATAAGCTGTGCTGGACTGGTGCTTGGCTGAAAGGAAAAGGAATGGATGTGAAGTGTCCAGGGGGGGCACCCAGACTGTACTGCAAACATGTCAGCCTTCGCTCCGTTCTCCGAGTTCAATATGGGAGAGGACATTGGAAATCAGCTTGCGCTACAGGGTGTGCTCATTAAGTATGCTACTACCGATGGGGATTCTAAGTCTGCAGATGGAATAGACCAAGCTCTGAAAGTGTTAGACCCTATGTGGAAGGTGCAGAGACTAGCTGATCCCACCCACTTGGCTCAAGGACAGTTTCGGCAATGCTACAGAGCTGATTTCAACCCAGATATGTTCTCCGGCACTACTCGTACACAGAAATTGGAGGCTAAGAAGGTGCTAAGTCAGGATGTAAAGGCACGGTGCAGCCTGATACTGAAAGAACGCATGAAGGATCATGCAGGCGACATGAAAGCACTTCATAGTATTTTACCTAGAGTGCTCGAAGCAACCCTTAAGTGCTACAGCGGCGACTGCTCCAGGTGTGCCCGGTACTCTGTTGTGTGTCGAGGCGGTGTAACAAACAGCTTGTGGCAGCGGTCCATGTTCCTCGGCTGCAACAAAATCACTCATTTCAATATGGATGACAATGATAAACACTTGATGAATGAAATTCTCAAGATGAAGCTGAGTGTCGAAGTTGTCGAACAAATGAAACTGTACACAGATACACAGAAATGTGAAGCCGTGAACCGATCAATGAGTATTTCTTTGCCAAAGAACGTGAACTTTTCAAGAAATATGATCGGGAGGGCATCATCGACTATTCATAGGCTCAACAATGGCCCCGGGACATCAGCAATCGACAAGTGCCAAAACTCTGGTGTTGAACTATCAAGTCGAGCAGTGCGGTCACTTGAACAAATGGACAAGGAAGCTGCCTATCACAAGGAATACCAGAAAAGTCCCAGTGTTGTGAAAAGAAAACTTGTGCAGCATGGGAGCAAAATTAGTGAACATTTAAAGTCAAAACTCAGTGACAAACAGAGGGGGGACTACAAAAAGGGTCAACTTGACCCTGTGCCATGTTTTAGTAAACAAGCCGACCATTCATATTCAAAGAATTGAACATGTGCAGTAATACTGTAGCTAATGACTAGCTTATGACTGACTTTGTGTAACTCTGAGTTGAAATAGGTAACAGTTGCTGTACAGCTATGTTTTTTGTATATGCAATGCTACAATCAGCTGTCACTGTGATGAACATCAGTTAATGAATAAAATCTTAATCATTTACTTTGCTTGTTGTTGTCTCCTTTCACAGCTTCAAAGCCAAAAGGCAATCCGGATAGGGCGCATGGCCTTTGCATGCTACTTCACACAGGCTACTATGTCTGCATTTACACTATGCGGCTCAGCAGACAGATGTTCGACATAGGTGCATTTATAATTATGGCACAAATGGCTGATGTCCAAATCACCTATGTCGAAATCTTCCCTATGCACTATGTAGCTAAGTCTATGGGCATTTACGGAGCGCCACTTGTTGGATATGGGGCAATAGTACCTCAAAACCCCGTTTTGACACGTGCCATGTTGGTCACTTTTGGCTGAATGCCGAGCAAATATCTCTCTGTATTTCTTGAAAAAGGCTTCGATGTTGGCCATATTTATATTGTCCAAGTCCAAACGAGGCACGACAGGTGTAGTGATACATGATTCTACCATATTGAAACTCATATGACTTATTATGATGCTGGCATTCACTCATTTCAACAAGTGAATCGCACGTTTCATGCATAAAATCGCACGTTCGAAAAAGTACACAAAATCTTTAAAATAAATAAATATATATTTCAACCTGAAAACACATGTACACAGATTTCAACACTTACTGTGAATATATGTGCCAAGTTTCAAGTCAATTTCTTGCATAATAATAGAAATATAGTGAATGAAACATATGCACTAGCCTCACCATATCAGGCCTCAGACCACAATTAATTTCCTTCTTTGCTATCTACAGTGACATGACAGCCCTCCATAGTTTCGGCCAGCATTCACCACCTTGCTTTCGCAGTAACCACTGTCAACAATGCTCACCGGAAGTTTCGAGCCGAAACACACACAGCAGCCTTCAACTTGGGGTCAAATTGCCACAGGCTGAACAGTCCATTTAAACAGGGTACTATATTCTCCTATTTTCCTTCCGGTTCATGGTAAAACTTAGGGGGGATAACTGTGGTCTGAGGCCAAATGGGGCGTAGACGGTGTTGCTGAGAGGGTCGATGGAGATGGTCTTTGGGGTCTTCAAAGGCGCAGTTAGCAGCCTGCCACATCCTGGGTATACACCTGTTTTGTATAGCATTGTTAATCACTGGCAGTAACACTAAATTACTGAATACCTGTGTTGTTTAGCACTGGTAATCACTGTCGTGTTATATGGCATTGTTAATCACTGGCAGTAAAACTAAATTACTAAATACTTGAGTTGTATAGCATTACAGTGGCACAGGACTCTGCTGCTGGGTGTGTATGTTTGTTGTACAGGACTCTGCTGCTGTGTGTGTATGTTTGTAGCACAGGACTCTGCTGCTGTGTGTGTATGTTTGTTGTACAGGACTGCTGCTGGGTGTGTATGTTTGTTGTACAGGACTCTGCTGCTGTGTGTGTATGTTTGTTGTACAGGACTGCTGCTGTGTTTGTATGTTTGTTGTACAGGACTCTGCTGCTGGGTGTGTATGTTTGTTGTACAGGACTGCTGCTGGGTGTGTATGTTTGTTGTACAGGACTGCTGCTGTGTTTGTATGTTTGTTGTACAGGACTCTGCTGCTGGGTGTGTATGTTTGTTGTACAGGACTCTGCTGCTGGGTGTGTATGTTTGTAGCACAGGACTCTGCTGCTGGGTGTGTATGTTTGTTGTACAGGACTCTGCTGCTGGGTGTGTATGTTTGTTGTACAGGACTGCTGCTGGGTGTGTATGTTTGTTGTACAGGACTCTGCTGCTGTGTGTGTATGTTTGTTGTACAGGACTGCTGCTGGGTGTGTATGTTTGTTGTACAGGACTCTGCTGCTGGGTGTGTATGTTTGTTGTACAGGACTGCTGCTGGGTGTGTATGTTTGTTGTACAGGACTGCTGCTGGGTGTGTATGTTTGTAGCACAGGACTCTGCTGCTGGGTGTGTATGTTTGTAGCACAGGACTCTGCTGCTGTGTGTGTATGTTTGTTGTACAGGACTGATGCTGGGTGTGTATGTTTGTTGTACAGGACTGCTGCTGGGTGTGTATGTTTGTAGCACAGGACTCTGCTGCTGGGTGTGTATGTTTGTAGCACAGGACTCTGCTGCTGTGTGTGTATGTTTGTTGTACAGGACTCTGCTGCTGGGTGTGTATGTTTGTTGTACAGGACTGCTGCTGGGTGTGTATGTTTGTTGTACAGGACTCTGCTGCTGGGTGTGTATGTTTGTTGTACAGGACTGCTGCTGGGTGTGTATGTTTGTTGTACAGGACTGCTGCTGGGTGTGTATGTTTGTTGTACAGGACTCTGCTGCTGTGTGTGTATGTTTGTTGTACAGGACTGCTGCTGGGTGTGTATGTTTGTTGTACAGGACTCTGCTGCTGGGTGTGTATGTTTGTTGTACAGGACTGCTGCTGGGTGTGTATGTTTGTTGTACAGGACTGCTGCTGGGTGTGTATGTTTGTTGTACAGGACTGCTGCTGGGTGTGTATGTTTGTAGCACAGGACTCTGCTGCTGTGTGTGTATGTTTGTTGTACAGGACTCTGCTGCTGGGTGTGTATGTTTGTTGTACAGGACTGCTGCTGGGTGTGTATGTTTGTTGTACAGGACTCTACTGCTGGGTGTGTATGTTTGTTGTACAGGACTGCTGCTGGGTGTGTATGTTTGTTGTACAGGACTGCTGCTGGGTGTGTATGTTTGTTGTACAGGACTCTGCTGCTGGGTGTGTATGTTTGTTGTACAGGACTGCTGCTGGGTGTGTATGTTTGTTGTACAGGACTGCTGCTGGGTGTGTATGTTTGTTGTACAGGACTGCTGCTGGGTGTGTATGTTTGTTGTACAGGACTCTGCTGCTGGGTGTGTATGTTTGTTGTACAGGACTGCTGCTGGGTGTG